TCCTTATTGACATCCATGTTCAGGGGTCTGGATCAGTCTTGTACTGGCCTCCCAGACAGCATCTGGGGTCCCTGTGCTCTCCCTTGTTCAGGCCAACTGTTCCTGTGGGTTTCTCCAACCTGGTACAGACCCCTTCGCTCTTCATTCCTCCCTCTCTTCAACTAAATTCCAGATTACAGTTCAGTGTATATCTGTGGATTTCTGTCTCTGCTTCCATCAGCCACTGGATGAGGACTCTAGGATGGCATAAAGAGTAGTCATCAATCTCATTTTAGGGGAAGGGCTTTTAGGTTATCCTCTCCACCATTGCCTGGATTGTCAGATTGTGTCATCCTTGTAGGTCTCTGGAGATCTCCCTAGTGCCAGATCTCTTCTCAGACCTATAGTGGCTCCCTCTGATATGGTATCTGTCATCCTGCTCTCTCTCCTCTATTCTTCCCCAAACTCAATATTTCTGGTGGTGTCATATTGGTCTTTCTGTTGTTGAGTGAGTTCTTATTCTATCTTCTTCCCATATCTTCTTCCAGTGGGTGCAGGGGGGGGCTCTCTCTCTCCTCTTGTGCCCCAGTGGCATGGGTGGGCCAGGGATTCAATGTCCACAGCTCTGGATGGTCTTGCCTCTCCTGGTAGTCTCCTTACTCTGAAGGAGTTAGGCCTCAGTAGGGGTCAGGTCGGTGGAATGGGAAGGAAGAGTGGGGTGTTTCCATACTCAGGGAGTTTTTCCCTGCCTGGGCAGGTCTACTCCAAGCGGGAGCAGGACCAGAGAGATCGGCGTGAGTGGGGCTTTGGACGGGAGTTGCTAAAAGCAGAGGGTCACTCACCTCTTTATGGATCAAGTTGGCGGAATGGAAAGGAAGAGTGGGGTGTTTCCAGATTCAGGGCTCTCCTCCCTGCCTGGGTGTGTCTACCCCAAGCAGGCGCAGGCCCAGAGAGATTGGGGTGAATGGGACTTTGGACGGGAGTTGAGTAAGAGCAGAGGGTCACTTACCTCGTTATGGATCAGGTCGGCGGAAAAGGGCGTTTTATTTTTCTTTTACACATGATGTCTGTTTAAAAACCAAGCCTCTGGCTGGAAAGCCTAATGTATTAACAATGTTCCCTTCACATGGAGTTACTCACTAAGTCATTACATCCCATCATGAGGTCTGTCACAGTTGATGGCAATCCGTCACACTCTTCTTATTTCCTTTACTTCATTGATTAAAATTTTTATTCATTTCCTAAGCCCTAGCTCCTCTCTGCTTCCCTCCCCACCATCTCTCTCTCTCTCTCTCTCTCTCTCTCTCTCTCTCTCACACACACACACACACACACACACACACACACACACACAAAATGAAAAATTGAAACAAACAAAAAACTCAATAAAACCAACAAATGCCAAAACAAGGTGAAATGAAAAGCCCCTCCCACCTCCACAACGTGGTTTGTTTTTGTCCATAGACATGCAACCTACCCTCTAATGTGGTTGATATACCCAGTGTTACTCCATTGGAGAAAATAGATTTGTTTCCAGCAGGCATCAACTGCAGATAGCTTCTTGGACTTCGTGTCTGTTTCCCCACCTCAGGGATGGGACTTGGTCTGGTTTGAACCTGTGTAGGTCTTGTGTGTGCTCCTACAGTCTCTGTAAATTCACGTGTGCATCAGTTCAGTTGTGTCTGGAAGACACTGCTTCCTTGGAGCCATCCGCCACCCCGCTCTCATAGTCTTTCCACCTCCTCTTCTGCATGGATCCCTGAGTCTTGAAGGGGGCACTGTTTGATGAAGACAGCCCATTTAGGACTGTCCATCCTTCCCAGAGTGCCATTCTCATCTTTATGGTTTCTTGTTTAAGTGTTGAGTGTATCTGCACACTCTGACAGGGTGACTGAGTTTTTCTTCAGATGTAGTCTGGGTTTCCTTATCTTTCATGATGCCCTCTCTAGAAGGATGTGCTGAAGCAACAGTCACTACTGCAGACTGCTCTTTGCTGCCTCCAGGACATGGTTTCTGTCAGTCCTGTTCTCATGGCTAGCTCACCATTTTCCTGACTTCTCTACACATTAAGGCCCAAATTAAAAGTTGTCCAGACCAGGCTGGTGAAACCCACAGAAACAACTGACCTGAACAACGGGGAACTCTTGGTCCCCAGACTGATAGCTGGGATACCAGCATGGGACTGATCCAGATCCCAGGAACATGGGTTTCAGTGAGGAAACCTCTGAAATCTACAGGGATCCTGTAGGGATCAGTACTTATCCCTAGCATAGGTGTGGACTTTGGGAGCCCATTCCACATGGAGGAATACTCCCTGAGCCAAGACACACTGGGGTGGGCCCAGGCCCTATCCCAAAGGAAACGATAGACTCTGATGACACCCTGTGGAAGTCCTCACCATCCAGAGGGAGCAGAAAGGATATGTGATAGGTAGGGTTTTATTTGGGGGGGGTGGATAGGGGAGGCGGTAAGGGATAGGGAACTGGGATTGTCATGAAAAGCAATGTTTCTAATTCAAATTTAAAAATCTGAAAAAAAGTATATGTAAATAATGTCTGCCCAGATAATTCTGACAGAAAATGTTTTCCCTCCTATATCCATAGTACTTCAGCCATGCAAATGTTATGGTATGTGTGACTCACTGCCTTTGTTAGAAATGCATGTGTATTACCACTCCTCTGAACTGTGTAGAGCTATGTTCATACTGAGTGCAACCATTTGTTTTATCTATTTATATTTGGTGGTGGAAGTTGAATTCAGGGCCTTGCACATGCTAAGCAAGTACTCTACCAATACTCTAACAGTATCTCCAGCCTGTTTATTTATTTGTTTGTTTTTTATGCAGGATTTCACTACATAGCACAGATTGGCCTGGAACTCACAATCCTTTTGTCTCAAAGGCTTCCCGAGTACTAGGATTACAATTGTTGACCACCATGTTTGCTTATAAGAAAAAAATTAGTATATTAATGAGTGATTCACAGAATTGGTTATGTCTTTAAATTATGTAACATTCTGGTAGGAACAATTCTTTTTTAACGTATTTTAATTTTAATATTCATGTGTGAAAGTCATACATGTGTATTATATATCTTGATCACATTATTCCCTGTTACTTTCCCCCCTCCTCTTTCTAGACCTCTCTTTTTTTTTCCCAGTAAGTCCCCAGTAAGTTTCTTATTTTTGTTTAGTTTTTAAATTACCTTTGGGTTTAATTGGGGTAGCTTCTCTGAACATGGGTGTTTTGTTTACTGTAGTATTGACAACTTGCAAGCACCTATACCACTTAAGGAAAATGCTTCCCCCTCTTCAGCACATCGAGTGTCTATAGTTCCTCAGCTAGGATGGAGCTTTGTTTGTCCCGCTACCATCCCTGCTACAATGTTGTCAGGCTAGATCTAGTTCAGGTGACCACAGTGTCTGGGAGTTTATGAGTGCAATAGCTATGTCATGTCCAGAAAATTGTTTCATAGCTTTTATTCCTTCCCCTGGCTTTCATATTCTGTGTGTGCCCTCTTCTATGATGTTCCCCAATTTATTGTGATGTGGTGTGTGTGTGTGTGTGTGTGTGTGTGTGTGATGGCAGGGGGCATGATACAGATGTCCCTTTTAGGGCTAAACACTAAATAGTCACTCTCAGCACTTTGAGCATTTGGGACTCTGTGTTTACTGCTACCCACTGCAAAATGAAGCTTCCTAGTAGGAATAAGTCTAGTGGAGATTTTCCAAGGACTTACATAACTTAGGTTCCCATTTTCCTTGTCTTGCTTTTGTAGAGAAGATCTGAGAAGCTTGTGATCATTCAACCCTAACCTGTTGGACATACTTCTAACTTCATTTGGATGTTGTGGCTGGCTAAAAGAGTCTGAAAGTTTATTGAGACCTTATTAGATTATTAAAAAGCAGGCAAAGCTAATTCCTTACAGTTACAAGTCTGTGAAGTGTCACTTTCACACCCAGATCTCTTTACCTTTGTCTTGAGCTGCTACCATATTTTATCAGTTTGTAAATTTTTATTTTTGAATGTCTTCATTTTCTCTATGAGACATTGCCTTATCATGCATTCAAGATATCTGGAGGGAAAGGAAACTGTTGCAAACTCTTTCCAGGAGTATCTATTTTACTCTCATAGCTAATGTGTAGCTTACTTTCTCCTCTTTCAGTCTTGGACCCCAGCCCATAGAGGGTGCTATCTACATTTAGTATGATTTGTCCTACTGCAGTTAATATAATCTCAATAACTCCTCACAGCCATGCCCAAAGGCATGTCTCTTTGTTGATTTAAGATCCTAGCAAAATGACAGTCATTGTTAACAGCTATCACACTGGGACAGGGGTGTGGATCACCCCTGTACACAGTTTATGAGGCAAGAGCGTATCAGGCTCCACAACATATGTGAAAGACATAACAGTGAACAGGATGGTTTTAGTTCTTACCCAACGAACCAGTATTACAGTCTGCAAGAGAATTCAAATGAAAATACTGTATTAAAAAAGTAACCCTTCAGACTGTAAAAGGATGGATTATTACTAGAGCACATCGGAAGGGCATTGTAGTAACATTTGGTCATTCAAGGAAGTCTTCCCCAAAGAAGCAGTTGCTAAGAGCACCTCTGAAGGATAAGTGGGACTAATCAGAGGATTCCATTTCCACCCTGCCCCCAGACAGCATGTACAAGTGCTTAAATATGAGAGTGCATGGAGAAACAAACTCCAGAATCAGCAAATGGACTGTGTTGGGCAGGAGAGGTATGAGGGGTGACTTTGGAGGAGCAAGTAGAAATCAGTGATAAATATATAGTTGTGTAATTGAGATCTGATTTTTATCATGAAAAGAATGGTGAGACTGACAAATTTTAAGTAGAAGCACACATTTCCCTTTCAGCTTTGGATATTATAACTGCTCCTCTGACTACAACAGGAAATGGGTCAGAAAAGAGATCTTTGTATATTTCTCTAGGAGGAAGGTACAAGAGATGGAGGAATATAAGTTGGAAAGATGCAGAACATCACTTTAAACTTAGTTAATGGCTTTTCTTGTTTAAGGTGGGACTATCATTCATGATGACTGCCAGGTCTTTGACAGACAGCTGATTAGCTCTGGTTATCAGGACACAATATAGACAGCTAGCAGGCTCCAGAGGGTGTGAATATACTTTCTGGTTTAACATTGGGAAGTGGTATGCTTATTGGAACTTCGAGCTTGAATTTCATGAAGGAATATGGGATGATTATTTGAAATTAATCAGTATGTACATAGAGTGAAATTCTTTGGTGGTGTATATATATCTTTGAAAGTATGTAGTATCTCAAACACATACAAATTCACAGTTTTATTAGTAATTTTTAGAAATGTATTAGGATATAGACTCGTGACTTGAAAGAGTCTGCACTCTCTTTTCAGTATCAGTTGTATTTTGAGATGCTAATCATCAAAAGCATGTAAATCCGCCTTGCCATGTTCTTATTTGTCATCTGTGTAATTGGTAACTCCCAGTGCAGGTGTTTAATTATATTAAAGTTTTGTGAGTGAAGGAGGTGAACAATGATTAGCTTTATTGTCCAAAATAAGTATTTTATAGAGTAAATAAATCATTCCTCAGTAAGGTGACCTTTCCTTTCCCAGCTTTTGATTGGCTTTGAATCTGGAACAGTCGTCTTATGGGACCTCAAGTCAAAGAAGGCTGACTATAGATACACATATGACGAGGTAACAGCAATATTTATTCTCATTGCAAATATTGTCATTGCTATAATGCACAGCAGCTTCTCTAAGAATTGAATTTTCAGGTTTAGTTTAGATTTGATGTTAGGGTAATTACAGAAGTTTTTCTGTTTGCATTTTTCTTCTCTTAGTAATACATCCACTTCACCTTTCTTTCGGGGAGTTAGAACACACAGTGTGTTGTTGGTATTATTCATCAGTGAACCTGCTGAGTCATGGAGTTCTCTGAGAAACGATGCTGTTACATCCACAGCTCTGTTCATAGCTACAGAGATCCCCACATGCTTCTTGTACAGTACAGTCTGCTACTTTCAAGGACTATTGCTTTCTCTAATATTTCTCCTTGATTAGAGTCATGTTGCACCGCTCAGCAGTCATATAACAAATATTACATGTATTTTCTTTTATTTAAAAACATTTTGATGGCTGGAGTGATGGCTCAGAGTTAAGAACACTGAATGCTCTTCCAGAGGTCCTAAGTTCAATTCCCAGCAGTTACATGGTGGCTCACAACCACGTATAATTCAATCTGGTGCCCTCTTCTGGCATGTAGGCAGAACACTGTATACATAATAAGTAAATAAATATTAAAAAATATTTTAAATCTCTTTGGTTAACTTCTCAATACTGACCACATTCCATGGAAGTAATTTCACTATAGTATATATAAAGGCAAGGCTTATTTTAAAATTGAAGTTTTATCATGATTTAAGTGTACTTTTAGAGCAATTTACCTATCTACTCTATTTCAAATTTTGGTAGAAATACTTTGACTCAGAAATGTTGTATTAAATGTTGGCATTTCCACTCTGTGCTCATCATCATGTAAATGCTTTCATCCAAACTATATTACATTTCTGTATAATTTTAGCTTACATTTATAAGCACACAAAGAACACAAATAAGCAGACACTGAATTAAATGCAAGTGCTGACTGTGTATGTATAGTAGAACTTCATCTTGCATTTCAGTTGAATGCCTTCTTGCTGTGCTGTCCAATTCCAGTAGTTCAGCAGGGCACCTTTTAAAGTCTTTTAACCATTAAGAATGAAAAGTGCATCACCATGACTTGAAAATAAGAAATTCAGAGCAACCCTAGGGATGGATCTTCTAAAACTAAGATTTTATAGAGAAAAGTCATAATTTAGAGGCAAAAAGTGGAGGCTGAACACATGTCAGTCACATGAAATACTTTGTGGATAGTGGGTTAGAAGTATAGTGTTCCAGTCAAAGAAGGGTCTTCTTGTGGGACTGAAGAGATGACATAGCAGCTACAGGTCTGAGTACTTGGGTGCTTCTCAGAGGACCCAGGTTTGATTCCCAGCACCCAAATGGTGCCTCACAACTGTCTGTAACCCACTTCCAGAGGATCCAATGTCCTCATCTGGCCTCTGTTTGTGTGCACTAGTCACACACATGGAATAAAACAATTAGAAGGAAAAGAGGGTGGTCTCCTCAGATTAAATTAAAAGTCACCCCCATAATTATTCTGAGGTATTGAAAATATGCTTTCATGTTCAACCTGAGGAATTTTTATTGATATTAATCCCAAATTATATGTTTGGAATTTTAGGATAGATTTTTAGTTCATTAAAACAAATTCTAATATCTCAGCGTGGCTAATTTCTTCATTATTCATTGTTTGTAGTAATGTAGTAGTTTATGTGTGGGTAGGGTTCATTCTGATAAGCTCTAAGAACACTCCTTTCCTGAACTTGTTGGTAAATAGTGCATATGTCATTGGCATAGCTTCCTAAATACAATGATCAGGAGGAATTAAACAGTTTCAATATGCAATATCTTATTTGTGTTGTAAGAGGACTAAGTTATTTTGATAATGTAGCTAATGTATTGACTATCTTGGAAACTATAAAAAATTGTCAAAATCAATTACCAAACCATTTATCACTAGTTTGATAATAGAATTCTTCACCCTTCTGTAGGCTATTCACTCGGTGGCTTGGCATCATGAAGGAAAACAATTTATTTGCAGTCATTCTGATGGTACTTTGACCATATGGAATGTGAGGTCCCCTGCTAAACCTGTACAGACCATCACTCCTCATGGTAAGGGTGCCTCCATTTTAAAAAGACTACCCAAATTGTAATGGACTACTGTGTGATTTGGGGGAGGTTGTTTTTGTTTTAATGGGTGAAGAATATTATCATCTTGTCATGGAATGAATATTGTAATAGCTTCTGAATATCATTTCTTTATTTGTCCAAATGTCAGATCACATTGTTAATTGAAAGAGACTTTAAACTTTTGTCATCTTAAGATTGTCCCAAGCGGTTGATGTGTATGTGACACTGTAGTTGATACATCAAGGTCCCAACTGCAGGTCATTTTCTACGTTTAAGAATGGTGCTGAAGGTCATCCAGAGTTTGTTGATCCCAGGGGACTCAGCAAGCACATAATCATCCTCGCACAGTGTTTGTTACAACACAAGAATGTGGCGCAGATAGGTTTCTACAGTGTTTATTGTCTCTTGGCAGAACAGTCTCTATCTGAACTTATCCTACACAGAAAGGCAAAGAACATTTGATTTACAGTTTTTTTCAACGTTAGGAGGCAAACAACACACAGCACATTATTTTCTTGTGGTACATGTGAAGAATCGCTTTCCTTACACAGTACAGCAGTCTAAATGTACATGGTACTAGTTTTACTAATTGTTTAATTTTATTTCCATAAAATATTGTATATAAATAAATTTTACAGGAATTGAGTTGCTTTTATGAGTTTTGTTGTATCTTCTACTCACTGCTTAGCTTGCCACTGGCAGCGGTAACCTACCAACACTAAGTTTTTGTTACCAGTTGAATTCAACAGCAGACCTGAGTCTACTTCAGCACATGGTAATGCAAAAATATTAGTGTACCAAACAAGATACCATTTGTTATAAATATAGTATATTTATGGTACATAATTTTCAGAATATTAACCACTCATTCTGATAGAATACATTTTAGTTCTTTCTTTTGTCATACTATAACTTCTTGTTTTTAATTTTATCCTAATGATTTTGAGAATATTTTTTGCTTTTTTAAATTTTTTTATTTTAATTAGAAAGATTATTTTACATGTCAACGCCAGGTCCCTCTCCCTCCCCTCCTCCCCTGCCCCCCCCCAACTAACACCCTACATATCCCATACCCTTTCTGCTCACCCAGGGAGGGTGAGGCCTTCCATGGGGGGGGTCTTCAGAGTCTGTCATATCCTTTTGGATAGGGCCTGGGCCCACCCCCTTGTGTCTAGGCTCAGAGAGTATTCCTCCATGTGGGATGGGCTCCCAAAGTCCATTCCTATGCTAGGGACAAGTACTGATCCACTACAAGGGGCCCCATAGATTTCAGAGGTCTCCTCACTGACACCCACATTCAGGGGGTCGGATCAGTCCCATGCTGGTTTGCCAGCTATCAGTCTGGGGACCAAGAGTTCCCCGTTGTTCAGGTCAGCTGTTTCTGTGGGTTACACCAGCCTGGTCTGGGACCCCTTTGCTCATCAGTCCTCCTTCTCTGCATCTGGATTTCAGTTCAGTTCAAGGTTTAGCTGTGGTATCTGCATCTACTTGCAGGAGCTGCTGGATGAAGGCTATAGGATGGCATATAAGTCAGTCATCAATCTCATTATCAGGGAAGGGCATTTAAGGTAGCCTCTCCTCTGTTGCTTAGATTGTTAGTTGATGTCATCCTTGTAGCTTTCCAGACATTTCCCTAGTGCCTGATTTCTATATTATGTCTCCCTCTATTATAGTATCTCTTATCTTTCTCTCTTCTGTTCTTCCCCCAACTCAACCTCCCTGCCCCATCATGTCCTCCTCACATATTTTACTTTTAAATTTTTGTGCATTATTAGTTTTGGTCAGTTTTGATTAGTTTCCGTGGTGGTAACCACCTGCACAGCATAAATAGTGCATTAGCATGGTGTTTCGTGCTACCATGTGTCATGTTAAAGTAGATGTGAATATATTCTGTTTCAGTCTTGTGCGGCTTTATCCTGAACCCAGGTCATTGTGCATGGTAGGCCAGCATTCTACCTACTGAGCTGTGTTTCCAGTCCCAAGGTTAATACATTTGTGAAGCTGTATTCAGAAGACATAATAAGACACAGCCTAATGTGTGCTTATTAAAGCAGAAAGTCTGTGACCTTTGGGAAACCAGTTAGCATTTCTGGATCTCATTATTATTTATAACTAGAAAAGATAATGAAACTTAATCCAGTTTCCTCATGCTGTTCTGAGAATTGAATTTATTTATTCAACTAATTCTTATTGGCTCTACTATGTGTTCATAAGCTATATAACTGAGAGTACCTGGACATTATGATTTGATATGTACATATGTGATTCTAACTAAATAGAGATTTTAGAGATATGTTAACTCAGTAGGATAGACTAGTGTTCCCGCAAATATATTTCTGTTTCCTACACATACCTGTTTGTTTGTAGGTGATGAGTTTTTTAATATAAGAAGCATAACATAAAGAAATTTGGGGCTTACTGAATTAAAGTTGAATTTTTTTCTCCATGACATGACACAGCAGATGATTTTTGATTGTTAAAACTAGCTAAAGTAGTAGTATTTGTTTTGTTGTTGTATTTCTTATGAATATCAAAAACAATTTCCCTGGCAGTCAGGTAACCTTGAATCTTTTTCCAACTATGATATACATGAGAGCTGGAGAGGTGGCTCAGTGGATAAATCATTTATATGCCTTGAAAGTGTGAGGACCAAAGTTCAGATCTCTAAAACTCTTATAAAAGGCCAGGTTCATAATGATAGCCACCTATAAATGCAGTATTCCCAAGGCAGAGGCAGGGGATTCCTGGAGCCACATGGCTAGCTAAACAAGCAGGAATCATCAAGCAGAGAGCCATCAAGGAAGACATATGACATCAACTTTGAGATTCCCTATATATGTACACATATATGAACATGAATATGTATGTTATATCTGTATATACATAATATACATGTATACAATGCATACACACACACCTTTTGAAGATAATTTCTATTCTCTGGGACTTAGTTTTATAAATTATAAAAATGGCAGAAATGAATGAGATGAGTTAGCAAGTGTTTATCAATATGTGGAAATTGAGCAGAATTTTACTCTACAAATTTACTTTAGTAATAGATGCCAAGTCATTTATCTACAGACAACTCTTTGTGTGGTAAACTAGGCTAAAGGTCTGCTGCTGCTTTTTGGTTTGCTTTTCTGCTGTGACAGATGAGCTTTTATTAGAAGAGAATGCTTGCTAGTGCTATCATGGCTGTTTTTATCCTGAAACCATCATCTTACTTAAGTGATTTGCTGGGTCAGGGACCCCACATAGGTCTGCACTGTAGCCCTGAGCTGGAGTGATGTACCATTAGATGAGAATTTTTGTGATTGTCAGTTTCACTAGAATTGGCTGACTCCCTAAGGAAATGGAAATGCTAGATAGTCACAATCAAAAGATGTCCTCAATAGGAAATGATGTTTTAATTTTCTAGATGTTTTAAGTTTCTAGAGCATATTCATCAGTTCAGTCAACTATTTTATCCATAGTACATGAAGGAGAGTTTTTATTCTATTAAGGGTCACTGGATTAAAATTACATTGAAGTTCACATACATCAAAGTCAGTATTAAAATTAAGGATGAAACCAGCAAAAAATTCTATTTATCTACACTTAATTTGCCATAAGCCTAAAAATAAAACCATACCTGTTGTTTCCTCTAATTTTTATATTTGAAAGGACTTTGAAGACTCCATAACATGCCCAAATAAGTCTGTTACTTAAATTCAAAGAATCAAAAAGGCAGAAGATGAATACATGGAGAAATTGTGAAGCTTCCTGTGTGCCAGCTTCCCAGGGCAGGGTTGTGCTAAGATTCTGGCTGCAGACATCGCATCTGGTTTCTGGAGCTCAAAGAGAAGCTCTTGGGTATTCTCTTGGGGTGACCATGCTGCTGGTACCTGTCAGTGCTTGGGGCACACCCAAGGGAATTTAGACTTTCAACAATTGTAAATCGTATTCTTCTTGTCCTGCTAAGAGTCAAGGCCCAGATACCACAACACCCCTAACCTCCAGCTTTAAATGAACTTCATTTCTACACTAAGATGTCATGGTAAATTCTCCAAGCCTATTATTTCAAAATAACATTATTAGCATTGGCAGTGTATTTTTCCAGTTGTCATTTTTTTAGAAAGTCACTTTCTAATTAGAAAATAACTTGAGCCATCTAGGTAACTTGAAGTTTACTAATAGCATTATTAAGATCAGTAAAATAAATCAGACACAACTAATTTAATGTTATATTTTTATCTAACCCTAAATATGCAAAAATGCTATTTCATCATATGACTAAATATACAAAATTGAGATATTTTTTTCCTAGTATTTTATATTCCCAACACATCTGAACTTGAACTGATCACATTTCAGGTGCCTACTAGCCACATGGTAGCAATCATATTATAGACATTGCTCTAGACTTAAGGGTGTATGTGCAATACAACAACTCTTTCAGTTCATTCTATTTAACAAAATTAACAATTACAGGCTAATTTTTGTCAGATTCCTTTTTTTTCTAAACCTTTACACAATAGATGTTTATTGAGGACCTCCAGTCTCTTGTGGGTGAATTACTAGAAATTTATCAGCCTCAATAAGCTCATAGTCAAGTACTTAAAGTGATTTATAAATTGGTAACTTCAAGGATTTTCATAGTTGTTAATGATAGTATATGTAGTGCTGCATGTCTATGTTTTTGGACTGAGGATAATTAGGAATAGTTCATAAATTCAAGATATTTAATCTGGATCTTGAAGAAGACGGGTGCTATAGAGTTGAAAAGAACAGTGCAAGATTATTTTAGTAAGAATATATAAAGGGGCCAAAGCATATAAAGCAAGGCATTATATGAAGTCACTACTAATCTATCATGGGTAGAGATTTGATAATTCACAGGAAGAAAACAGAGCCATGTGTGATGAAGAATATATATCGGAGTATAATAAAAAGTTTGAACCTCATGCTCAAGACTCAGTAAGTGACTTTTCAGTGGTTCACATAAATTTGACATCTTAAAAACATACTTTAATGTTAATCCATTGGGATGACCGGATGGGGCAGGTGTGTTAAGAGTAAATAAAGATAATTTGAGTATTGGCAGGGGAAATGGATACATGATTAAATTTTGGAATAAAATATCTGTAGATCTTAGACCAACTCTTTGTAACTGGGTGACCAAAGAAGTTAAAGAAACATAACATTATAAAAGACAAGAAAGATGTGGAGTAGGGTAATTGTGATTTATTAAGTTGGGATTTATAACTAATCAGATATTTTCAGTGGTTTGTCAAGGCAATCAGTTTACAGAGAGTTTAAAGAACTAGTCTGTGTTTTTACTTCAGTAAAATAATACCTAGTTGTGAAATCTAGTGAGTCACTAGTGTTCTTTAATTTGTATAACTTAGTAAAATCAGAGCAAGGGCGTTTGTTATTTGGTTTAGGAACTGGTTACTTTAGGATTAATAATGAATGTTAGCTTGAGGCAGTGCCATCATTTAAAATGCTCAAGTTGGGAAAACATGAGAAGGTGCATGAAGAGTGATTTGTGCATGAAGAAAAATTTACAAATGAATAAAAATCAAAGTTGTAAGACTAAATGCTAAAATATTTCCTAAGCAATTTCAAAAGACAATTGAGCAAGAAAAGGAGATAAAAGAGTCTTCTTGTCCCTAGCCAGTTTTTATGGAAGATATGAAAACTTAGTCTCAGAAAAGCTCAGTAAATGCACTGATGGCCTCTAAATACTGCCAGCTGTGTGGGGCTGGAACACACACTCAGTGAACACCACCCACACCAGGCAGCTCACAATCACCAAGACTCAGATGCCAGGGGATCTGGCAGTCTCTTGGCCTCCATAGACACCTGTCATGATGCTGCAGTTCTGTCCTTGTACCCATTCCCTAAGAGTCAGTTCTTTTATGTCTGCCCAGTAAATGCTTAGAAATCAGTTTCAATACGTAAATCTAAACAGTTTTCTTTCTGTTTCTAATAAATATTCTCAAGATGTTTTCCAGAAGGGTTGTCTTTCTTAAGTGAAAAGAGAAGCCATCTGAGCCTGGGCTCTTGTTTATGGGGGATTTTATTTGTGTTTTTATTTCTAGAGGTTCTGGGATTTGAACCCAAGTGCTCTGCTTGTGAGCAAAACACCAAGCCCTGGTTTCTGCTGTTTAACTCACAGATTTCTATTTGTTCTAGACTTTATTTAGATTGTTTTTTCTTGAGTCAGTTTCAGTATTTAGCTTCCTAGGACTTTGACATTCTTCCCCCAGGTATCTCATTTGTTGGCATATAATTCCATAGACTGTTTTAGAGATTTTTATTTTTAATTACGTGTATATGTCTATGTCTGTGTGTGTGGACTTGTGCACATGAGTGAAGTGCAGGCAGGGTCTGACAGGGTGCCCTGGGGCTGGAGTTAAAGCCTAACATTGAGTGCTAGGATCTGAACTCAGATCCTCTGCAAGAGCAGTGTGCTCCTAACCACTGAGCCTTCTCCCCAGGCCCTTGTTTTGTAATTCTGTCTCTGACTCTGTGGTTTGATCTTTCCTCTTCTCTTAGAGTGGCTAAAGGTCAGTTTTAGTGTGTCACCTCAAAGTATTGTCTGAATTTCTTTAATTCTGATTATTTAGTAATGTGATGTTTAATTTTCACTTATCTTTAGTGTCTCCATTATTTTCTCTTGCTACTAATTTCTAACTTCATTCTCTTTTGGTTGGAGACTTTTATCTTGTGTGAATTTATCCTTTAAATACTATTAAGATTTTTTATATTTTAATGAGGTCTGCTTTGAACATAGTTTTCATTTTTGAAATGTTTGAAAATACTTGAGAAGAATGTATAGTTTGTTGGGTTGTGTGCTTTCTAGATGGCTGTTAATCTAAATAAAGTTGGAAGCTTCTGTTGTCTTGTAGATCTTCCATTCACTTATCCTGTATCCTCTAGAAATTAAGGTATTAAAGTCCTTTACCTATTATTGTTGAACTGTCTGTTTTCACCTTCCTTGGTTCAATTTTTGTTTCATATATTTTGGCACCATTATAATAAGTATATATTATTTGTAAGTCTCCCTGAATTGGAGTTGACCCTTAGCATGATATACTATTAGACTGCTTATGAAATTACATAAGGTCATAGGCTTTGTGGAAAACCATTTTATTCCTATGTCCTTTACCTAGGAAGTTATCCCAAAGAAGTTTTCAGGACTCATCCATTAAACATGTATATATATATATATATATATATATATATATATATATGTGTGTGTGTGTGTGTGTGTGTGTGTGTGTGTGTGTGTGTGTGTATGTATATACATATATTTATTTCATTTAGTGTGTTTATGATATATATGTAATATATATATCATAATATATATATTATATTTATATATATAATATATATATATATATTTCAGCAAGTGAGTGTATGATATATATATCATACACTCACTTGCTGAACAACAAGCAATGGAAGGAGAAACATGAAAGAGGGATTCTGGCACAAATCTCAAGTTGCAAAAGAAGCCATAGAGTGTGTTTGGGGTGAGAGTTTCTATCTCAAGTTGTAAAAGAAGACATAGAGTATGTTTGAGGGTGAGAGTTTCTAAGGGTTCTCAAGAACATTTGCAGTTTCCATGATTTGTCAGAAGAAATGTAATGACATTGAGAACACTAATTCTTTTTTTAAAAAGGGAGGATAGATGTTTTCTGTTTCTGTCATGAACCATTAAAATCAGATAACAAATAGCAGTATTTTTAAATAAAAAGTATAGCAGTAGGTTGGTTTATAATCATTTTATTGTAATAGGTATATGGAGTTTTCTTTAGAGGGAATATCAATGAATTTATTAACAATTTAATTTTTCAGTCCATGGTACTTGGGTGAAAATGTGATAGAGATTTATTTTTTTCAGATTGTGCTATTTTAAGATGTTTATTCACTAGGCAAGTTGAAATTCTATATTGCTTATCTAGTAGTCACAGTTGACATTTGGGAAGACTGCCGTTTTCTCTTGCTAGGATTTAATCACATAAACATTAAGTTATTTGATTCATTTGCCTTTTTTATAGTATTTCACATAGTAACTTGACTTCATCATTATAAAATGTCTTATTTTATACTAACTATTTCTTTCAAAATTATTTTAAAACATTCATTGGCGAGTTTCATTATTTTTCGTTTTCATCTTATTAACTGCATATATGAAGTTAAGAGTTATTTTGTCTAAAAGGGGATTTCATTATATTTCATTTTCACTTTATAAATTATCAATGTAAGAATGTAGAGTAATATAGAATTTAATGCAGGAAAATATATTTTAGGAAAACAGTTAAAGGATGGGAAGAAACCAGAGCCATGCAAGCCTATCCTCAAGGTGGAGTTCAAAACGACTAGATCTGGGTAAGCTCCCTTCATTGCCGTGTTCATAGTTACAGGTGATGCAAGTAGCATTGGAAGCTGTGTAGTGAACTTTGAATCCCTACTTTAGAATATTCTTTAGTATTCTTTAGTATAGTTGTATGCTTTCATAATTTAATAAAATACATAGCATAAATTACCTGAGGCTCTTTGATTTTAGCAGTTGATTTCTACATCTTTGAAAGTAAATTAATTTTCATCCCAAACGTAATTGATGTATTCTGTTGGTCCTTGGAAAAAGTAATGTTTATTTGCTAGTGTGAAAAATGTGGAAAAGGTGATGAAGGGAAATAATTAAAATATAATCTACCCTACACGTGTTAACTAAAAGTCAGACATTCAGAAATTAAATTTCATAATGTTTGACAATTACAGAAATGAATGCAACTTGCTACTTTAAAAAGGTTGACAATTTTATTACAACACTGATACTCATATAAAAGAGTTATAAGAATTAGGTGATTCCTACAATCTAATTGTCTTAATTTTATAAATCAAAAGCTGTACTGAATGTATAAATCTAATATATGTCTATAGAAAAAGTCTTTTACAGTGTTTCTTTGAAAATTCTGTATGTCTTTAATTTCCAAAGGAAGAGTTTTTTAAGACTTTCTATTCTAGTTATTATCAGTTGTTTATACTAAAGGAATCTAAAGAGTGAGAATCTCTCAAATGGAAACAGAAAACTGTGCATTGAAGTCCAGAAATCAGTTTTGATTGAATTTGCAGGAATTTCTGATGCTGCTGGTCCATTTACATATTGCAGTTTGTAAATGTGGGAGAACTGTCCTGTTTCTCCTTTTAACCTATCTTCCTGACCGACTCAGCTTTGCACAGTCCTACTGTGAGAAAAGGCCCTGGGCTCTTTTGCTGGGAGAAGATTGCTCTTATTCATCTTTTTAACCATTCCTGGCCTTTCTGTGAGATCTAGGAGAAATTCACTCTTAGAGTTGATTCAGAAACAGATACTAAGTTGAATGAAATCCAAGAGACAGAACATCTGTTCAGTTGACCTTGGAAGCCCTCACAATATCATCTTTGGGACAGAGTTATTTGATGTCTTTTTGCTTGAATGTTCTCATTTTTACATAGTACTATAGGTGACTGTGATGAATGTAGTGAGATGTTCATGTATGCACAAAAACCTTTGCATTAGGAAACCCTCAGCCACCAGTTAATTATTATTTGTCACATTTTTCCTATTACAAGAGAATTTAGAATAGGAAAAGCAGAATCATTAAGGCAGCAGTAACGGAAGACAAAAAAGGAAACAAACCCGAATAAAAGGTCTGTGTTTATATGGATCATAAAGTGAGTTCTTTAAATGTTGCCACTGTCCTGTGGGCTCCTCAGCTGCCTCTTCTGTCTCATAACAGTGCTGCTGGTACAGTCCCAGTTTAGTCAAGATGGCAGCACCACTTTCTTGTCACAGATCTGAACTGAAAATTTTAAAAAGATGTATTGCACACCTGTATTTATTACTATAGCTCACAATAGCTAAACTATGGAACCCACCTAGAGGATCATCAACTGATGAGTGGAAATGTTATGTTTACATGTAATAGAATTGTGTTTGGCTATAAGGAATGGAATAGTGGCAATGTCAGGAGAATGGATGGAACTGGAGATTCTCATGGTAATTAAAATACAAATAATGCAGAAGAGAAGGGCTATTTGAAACTACAAAGCCTAAAATTGAAGGTTTTGGAAAAGAGTCAAATAGTGAAGCCAAAGTGCAGACACAAAAAAGACATTCTTTCTTAAATACCGGGGAGTTTTTTGTGTGATACATATCTCCAACAAAGTAAAGCAAACACTTCCTGTATTGTATTGGCTACTTGTCACTTTGGCAGGGTATCTGATAAAAACAACTTCAGGGAAGAGGGGCTTATTTGGGTTCACATCTAAGAGGATGTGCAATCCATTGTGGCAGGGAGCCTGACTAAGAGATCTGCTCTAGCTGAGACAGGAGGAATATAAAATATGCGGCCATGTCTTGTATGCCACCAGGAAGCAGAGTGAAGAATGGTTGTGCTTTGCTCATTTCCTCACTTTTTTCACTCCAGTACCAGCACCCATAGAATGGTGCCAGTCACAGTCAGGCTGAGTTTCCTGTCACAGTTAAGCCTCACTGCAAACACCCTCCCAGCCACACCCAGAGGTTTGTCTCTGAGATGATTTTAAGTCCTGTCCAGCTGACAACCAAGATTAACAGGCACAAGTTTGCCCTTGTTGGCAAAGTGTTAATAGTTCCAACATTGTTCACAAGTCTATATTCAGAGTCTGCTGGGTCTCAAAAAATTCTCTTTAGTACCTGTCTAAAACAAAACAAAACTTCAGTATTTACAATATACACTAGTACAGAGTAAACGTCACTTCAAATGGAAGAATGGGGTGTGATTGTGGTCACTTATCAAAACCATAGCTCATGTTTATTTACAAATCTGTTTACTGTTATCATATATACTGGGGTCCGGCCCTATTCTGTCGGGGCCATCTATTCCGGACTGATGTCTTTGGGACTGTGTTTGGAGCCAGCCAAACAACCCCAGGTCCAACCCTGAGTGGGGGAGTGTGGATCAGGGAAGTCCTAGCTACCCATCAGCATCTTGTCATCTCATGAAGGCTCTCAGTCACTACTGGAGACCACGGTTTATTTAAGCATCCTCTTAAATAGCTTTCCAAAAGTGGGGGTACTGGCAGAAGACATCTATTATCATGTCTAGAGCTGATATAAAATATTTCCTTTAATCCTCAAGACACCACTAAAACTGCATGTCCTCCAAACCTTCCAGCATGTCCTACTAGTCTCAGGATTGGTGTGGGTTCACCTAGGGCCTAGGTCTTTTGTTATACAATCTAGGAGACATTCTCCACCTTGGCCTTGTCATCTGGAGGTAACCAACTAACAACTAAGACAATAGGATAACTGAGCTCCTAGAATTGAGCTGAGGCCTATAACCAAAATGTCATATTTGGGTCCCAACACATATAATCTGCAAAATAAATATAAACACAATCTTTTGATGCAAAGTACCAGGGAATATATTTTCATTATACCACCCAGGTTAGCTATTAATAATTTGCATTACAGATAGTTGTATTCTCTCTGAAATAGAATTGTGCTTTCCACTTGCAAGCAAGTGTTGATGATTTAAAAGATTAGTAACATAATCACACAAAATTGATGATGTAGAGTTTCATGTCTAATTAATGAATAATATAGTCAGGAGTGCTAATTATGGGCCCATACTCTAGCATTTCCACTGAAACCTAGTAGGACATCATGTAGTTGTGCTGTAGTAGGACATCAAGTAGCTGTGCTGTTGCAGGAGAGTAAGTAGCTTTCTGGTATTCCGTGTGCTTACTGGTACTTATGTGTTTTTTAGTATTGTTTAAGGCAAAGAGTCATTTACTACTTGACTCTAATTTCTTGAGTTTCTTTAGCTTTAGTGTGAGTGTTGGTCCTGGCTTTCAAAGAACAGGCATTTAGAGGCTCACTGGAGTCTTCTGTTTCTTGTGCCTTCTCTGCTGTGGTGTATGAGTTCAATGAGTCATTCATTGCCCCAGGCAGGCAAGGAGAACATGAGAATTATTGTCAAAGTAATGTTATCCTTTAGTGGTATTAAAATGCCTTTCACAAAACTGTTTTAAATATGTACATATAAAAGTATATGTATAAACATATATATGTATATACACACATACAAACATATAATTTGTGACCTGGGCAGGATCTAGAATATCAGAGATTACAAAAAGAAAATAGATGAACTCTGGCAATTAATGCTAGTAAATACAGATAGATGTGGGGAAGGTTCTTAGGAACGTGCAGGAGAAGACTTTGGTAGCAGTAAAAATATTGGTTGGCCTGTTTTAAAAACAGGAACTAATGAAATAAAGTGAATAACTTTCCAAGCCACAGCCCAAGGAACTGTGGCTAATTCCACAGACACTAATAGAGTGTACATCATGTTTGCAGAATTCAGAGCCCTGCATACCATTACCATAAACACATTTTGATTATGGTTATGGCACTTTGTTTCTTCACACTAAGCTGTCTCCTGATCTTTGCAACACCTATTTGTTTTCATTTTTATTTTTGTGTGTTTTGCCTACATGTATGTAAGTGCACCATATGCATGCAGTGTCCACAGAGGCCAGAAGGTATTGGATCTCCTGGAACTGGAGTTACAGATGGTTTTAAGTTGCCATATGAGTGTTAGGAACTGAACCCAAGTCCTCTGGAAGAGCAGCCAGTGTCCTTAACTTCCCAGTCGTCAGTAATCATTTTTGATGGAGAGTTATATGCCTTCTTCTCCACACCAAACTAACGACTATGAACAGCTGGCTTCTCTTCATTCAGGCATCACCTCATTTGCCATCACTGTAGTAGCATTGGCCTGACTCTTACAGGCAGCCCATCTCTCCACCTTATTAATTTCTTCAGTATGTGAACTGTGTGGGTAGACTGGACCTGAAGCATTGGCTTGTCCCCCAAAGCACAGATAACCAAACATATTCTGGTCATTGAATAGGTGGTATTATGGATCTGTAGTAGGTGAGTCACTTACTCATGTAGCCTTTTGGGTGGATAAAGCTGGTTCATTTATTTAGGATAGCTTCGTTTGGGGACACAGCTTACCCTAAAGCTACCTCAGAGCCTGGTTGGAGAGGTTCATAAAACAAAGAAAGCATGTGCACCAGATGATGTGCTGAGCTTCTTAAGCAAGAACAGTCACCTTCGAAGACTTGCAAAGGGACTTAGGAGCTTCTCAATGATTGTCTGGTTGATATCTGATGTCATTAACAGATATTGTAGTAACATTCTGCTTAAAGTCATAGAATAAAATTGTGTCACCATTAATAGACACTGTACTAAAATTCTGCTTAAAGTCATAGAATAAAATTATGATACCTCTAGGTCTCCTCATAACATCAGAAAGAGTAGCCTTTTTGTTTAAGACAGATCACATCTTCTTCACTTCCATAATTCATATATTACCTATAAACAGTCTAACTCATTAGAACTTTTAGAAGTCCAAATTCCAGATACAGCTTTGAAATTTTGCAGATTTTAATATGTAGAGTTAAATCCTTGAAACTTGTCCTTGTACATGACTAATTTATCCTGGTAAAGTGTTAATATTTTCTCTTTAAGCTTTGGGTATAATGAACTTACTGAAGTTTCATAAGTTAGGTGCGAATTTCCTGGGAGCCACATTACAAGTAGAGAAACAGCATGTGACATGGCAAGCTTACAGTGAAATAGAAAATGACTTAGTGATGAGTCAGTCAGTATTCCTTCAACTTTTTTTTAGTTCACATTCGTTTTTTTCTTCTGCTTTTAGGAAAGAAATAGATCTTGCAAAGCCACACAATAACAACAACAACAACAACAAAAAATCACTTGTCTCATGAGGACAATCCCAACTAGTTGATATAGTGTTATTTAAGACTGTGAACTGATGGTCCTCATGGGTGGCATTGGACATTGTAGTGTAGCTCAGCTGTCCTCTGCTGGTAGCTCTCGTGCTGATGTCAATTGATTATTCTTTTGAAATTGGTTGTGTGTAAATTAATACTTTCCCACTTTTTCCCTTGAAATACCACTTATAAAATTACCTGGGGTCCTTACTCTGTAGACATTTAAGAAATATTTATTAACCAGTGAACTCAAACTATTTCCAATTTAATTGTAAGTTATAGTAGAGGCAAAGTAGCAATGAGATAAATTTGTCTTTACTCATTTTATGTGATAAGAAGTATAAGAAAATTAAATAGTTTCTGCTCACCATGATCATAACCATATAATGATTAGGGTTTGAAACAATGGTTGTAGGAGTGTGGTTTTACTCAAGATAAATATTTGAAATTTGAGTTTTGGGATTTAGCCAGAAAAGTAATATCATACAAAACACATTAATGATGAATATAAATATATATACTTTGCTTATTAATTCATTTGAAAGACAGTTTAACATTTTCCTAGTGTGTTGGGCACTGTTCAAGACACTATTGTAGATAGAACAATGAACAACATAGATAAAAAAGGCTTCATCGAAGGTATATTTTGATGGAACAGACAATAAGAAAAATAAATTCATTTTACATGGTAAATACTATAGAAAAGTAAAGCAAATGGGAAGGTAGGATGCATGAGGCATATTTTCACAATATTATTACATATAGAAACACACACACACACACACACTTTTTCATTCCCCCATATTTTCTGCATTTTAAATAAGGTGCTTAAGTAAGAAAAAAAATATTACTTTCCCCAATACTTATATTTACTTATAAGGTATCTAAGTAACTGCTAATCTAACAAAATCTCAATGAAATTTATTCTTGTTTTATGTAAAAATGATTTGAAATTTTAATTTTTGTATCTATGTATGTATTTTGGTGCATGCTGCAAAAGGGAAATATCACAATGGACAAATGTAGTGATTTGCTGACATCAACAATTAGAATAGGTAACTCTTACTTAGGGTTCTGTGACCAAGCTTGGTCACAGAGTTGTCTGAGGGTTGGGTACCTATCTGTATGTCTCTGTGTCATAGATGTGGAATCCAGCATGCAGAGGTGTCAATGCCGGTGCTTGAGCTCCAGGCCTGGCCAGTCACCATTGCCTTTCATCATGTGCTACTTATGGTAGAAATGAAGGCTTAAAAATTCCACAAATATAAAAAAAGTAGGATGCCTTCATGAAAAATAAATATACAGGCCTAATGTAAGCATCTTTTTCTTCAAGACTAAAGCATTGTAATGAGGGGCTGGAGATACAGATGAACAGTTTAGAGGACATACTGTTCTTGCAGAGGATTCCAGTTTGGTTCCCATCACCCATATCAGGAAGTTTACCCCTAACTGCCTCCAGCTCCAGAGGACATGGCTTCCTATTCTGGCCTCCTCAGGGACGTGCACTTTCCCACAGATGTACCTTTAACTAAAAATAGATATTTTAGAAAAAAATTGAAAGTATAAATGAAAAGAGTTTTAAAAAATAATGTAGACAATTTTTAATGTTTTGCATGCCACACATTAAATAACTTCATACAAACAAATATCAAATTAAGGAAAAGATGAAGATATACCCATATTGTGATACATGAGAAGATATTTAGGTGCAGGTTTTAAAACATAGGTCTAGGTTCTAGACTCTAGATAAGTCATATAGTTTTCATCATGACCAGTATGGGGAGTGAGGGTAGGTGTCCTGTGTTGTGGTACTGGAAACATAGGTATTAGTGAGGTAAGCAGCAGCCCTCAGGAGTGTGATTGGAGTGAAGACTGCAAAGTTTATCTAGGAGGTTTCATAGGAAACATTAAGGCCTGTAGGAAAATTTTTGAGTGACTTTTTGCATTTGTTGAGGGGTTTCTAGCTGGTCCAATTCTTGGTGTATTTACAAGGCAGTATGTTGTGTACCACAGCTATCTGAAGCCGTGAGGTTTTGGGGGGAACATATGTTGAGAAGCCTTGTTAGAACAAAGCCACACAAAAACTGAAGGAAGACTCTATGGCAACTGTCCATAGGAAGTAAAATAAGAACTAGGAGAAGGTCAAAGAGTCACATGTGCATCATGCTCATTTTTATTTTAGTTTAATCTCCAGGAAGCTATGTTTGAGCTTAATCACATTAAAAATTCCACATACAATTCTTCCATTATGTGATACATAAATATTTTAGAAGATACCGTCACTGAATAACCATGCGATACAGCAGAACAAATAGTGTCCACCCCAATATTGTAATCCATACTATTTTTTATTTCCAGGGAACCTTTTATTATTTTGTCAGGAGGCTTGTCATATGATACTGTGGGGAGAAGGCCTTGCTTAACAGTGATGCATGGGAAAAGCACAGCTGTGCTGGAAATGGACTATTCAATTGTTGACTTTCTCACACTCTGTGAAACACCATACCCAAACGGTAAGGCTCACTCTCCATAACATTAATATTCAAAAAAGACAATGCTGTCCTAAGTAGTTTCCATGTACTATTATCCTAATGCTATAAGGGAAGAGATCCTGCTGTCAGAGCGTGGCCAATTTTATTTCAGCCATTGGTTTTCCTCAGCACTCTTTATCTCTTCTGCATTATACATTAATATTAAAAACCTTCCAAAGACAGAACACTGCCTATATTAAATATTTAAATTCTGTGAAGCAGAATTAACAGATTGGCCATATTTCTCAGAGAAGTATAGACGATATAGGTATGTATGTGTGTATGAAGGACTTGGGGGACTAAGAGTCTACAAACTCCAGAGTGAGTTTGAGTCATGGTTCGGGAATCGCAGTAAGGAGTTGTGGGTTGAAATCTCACACAGAATTACTTCTTTGAAGGAAAGCTGCCTTTGCCCTTAAGGCCTTCATCTGATAGGTTTAGGCCCTGCCTAGCCATTCAGAGTAACTGATTTGTTCAGTTTACCAAACTGAATACTAGTCACCTCTAAAAGATTCCTTCATGACAGCATCTAGACTGGTAGTGATCAGGCAGTTAGGGACAACAAAGCATAGATAAATTAGCACAGAGTATGAACTCAAATGTGTGTCCTTTTATTTCATTTGGAACGCTTTGAAGTTTAAAGATGTATTTATTAACATTTGAAATCAGTAACAGAACTCTACCAGTTCATTCAGAGATTCCATAATAATTGATGGGAATTAAGATTGGGAGCCCATTCCCTATGGAGGGATACTCTTGAAGCCTAGATTCATGGGGGAGGGTCTAAGTCCTGCCCCAAATGATGTGTCAGACTGTGATGATCCCCTATGGGAGGCCTCCCCCTCCCTGAGGAGTGAATGAGGGGTTGGGATGGGGAGTTGGTGGTAATGGGAGGACAGGAGGGAGAGGGAACTGGGATTGGTGTGTAAAATGAGATTGTTTTTAATTTAAATAGAAATTAATTAAGTAAAAGATATGGTTTTGATATCTTTACCACACTGCTGGTATATGTAATGTCACAGAAGTATTTTTAGTGTTCTTGTCTTACCCATCTTTTCAAATATGTAAGAACTTTGAATGGATTATTTTATACATTTATCTCATCCAAGATGTACAAATTATATGAACTATACTGGGCTCATCAGAATGCTAAGCATTCAGCAACAAGAAAAAGAAGTCAGAGACATCCATTGTCTTGTGGCTGCCCTCTTGTGTCCGTAAAGAAATTGGTCATGCATTGTTCTCATATTCCAGATTTTCAAGAACCGTATGCTGTGGTTGTTCTGCTGGAAAAGGATTTAGTACTGATAGACCTTGCACAAAATGGGTAAGAAAACTGGGGGAGCAATTCCATTACTATGTAGGGGAGAGCCCACACAAGATCTCTTTTAGTATGTCATTAACTATTAGATTCCTATGAAAACTTTACATTTACATAAATGATCTCTTTTTAATGCTCTAGATTCACATTGTCATAGTCTGAGATTCATTGATTATAATGAATTTCATAGGTGTCTGTTTATTTTTGCCTTTAATTGAAAATACATTTTTCTTTAATATATTCTGATTACAGTTCCCCTTGCCTCTACTCCTCACTTTGTCCCCATCTCCCTTCCATCCAGATCCACCCCTTTTCTGTCTCTCACTCAAAAATAAAGTCTTCTAAGTGAAATAAACAAAAATAATGAGATAAAACAATACATCAGAATGGGACAAAACAAACAAAAGGATAAGAGCCCAAGAGAAGGCAGAAGAAACAAACCCACTCATTCACACACTCTGGAATCCCATAAAAACCATTAAACTGAAAGCCATAATTCATTCACAAAGGACCTGTAGGGTAAAAAGAGAAAAGAAAAAAATTGCATATAAATAAAATAAAAATAAAAAATAAGGTTAAGTTAATAAACACAAACAAAACAAAGGAAAAGCCAGACACATCATTATGGGACAAGGACCCTCCAGAGATACTGATGGATGAGATTGTTTTCTGCTGGCCATCAACTCATTTGCAGGTGGTTGTGAATTGGAGATGGCTTCTATGTTAGTGGTGGGGGCATGTGTCCATTTCTCCTTTCAGCTCTGGGACTTCATCTGGCTGGTGCAGACCTGTGAAGGCCCTGTGTACCTGCACCTTCTGTGTGCATCAGTCATGTTGAGTTAGAGGGCCTTGTTTCCTTAGTATCCTCCATCCCTTCTGCCTCTTAACTCTTTCTGCCTCTTCCTCCATGGGGTTCTCTGAGACCTGAGGGGTGGGCTTCAGTGGAGACAGCCCATTTAGGGCTGAGTGTTACAAGCTTTTTCACTTTCTGCATAATGTATTTATTCTGATTTGCTGCAAGAAAAAGCTTCTCTGATGATGGCTAAGCAAGGCACACATTTCTGAATATATAAGAATGCTACTAAGAGTAATTTTATTGCTACTTTTTTTTTCTTTTTACACCAGTAGTATTTGGTTTTACCCTAGGTTCTTGGGCTGTCTAGTCTCTGGTTCTTGGTCACCAAAGTGACATTGTGAATGGGTTCCATGTTGTGTAGTGGACCCTTAGTCAAATCAGATATTGGTTGGTTACTCCCATAAGCTTTGCGTAACCATTGCCTTAGCATATTTCCCAGGCAGGACATATTGTAGATCAAAAATTTTGTGGCTGGAGTAGTGTTTGTGCTTCCATTTTGGTAGCCTGCAGAGTGCCTTCCTGTAGCAAAGGCTCAAGCATGTAGAAGTGAAGGTTCTATGTAGACATCAATTCAACTTCTCTGTTCAATTATGATTTTCTTGTTACTTAACTCAAAGTTTCTAGAATTTCTTACATTTCAGCTTCATACTTGTATACATGAAAGCCATACATAACAAGCCTATACAAAATGGATCCACCTCAGTTGGCCTATGATGAACTTTTTAGCCTTGCTCCCTCTGTGCAGTCTTATGTATTGTCTAGATCCATGTCAGATTAATTGTAACCTATATTAACTTCCTTATTACTCTTAATTTAAACCACTGATTGCTACTGTTGTTTTAACTGCTCTACCTGCAGTTTAAAAAAAAAAAAAACTGGTGTTATTTCTCACCTGTTCTCTTCCTATCTTCCCATAGTGGCCTTAATTCATGGGGTAGCAGCTTGATGTTTAACAGACCTCATATCTCATGTCCTCTCTTACCCAATTTTTTGCAGCTGGAACCCTCCACTCATTTCACTGTCATTAGAATCCACACAGGTGTCACCATGTGCTTTATGACTTTCCTAGACTGTACGTACAGACAAGTCTGTCTGACCTGTAAATCTCCAAACCCCATCTCAGCTCTTTGTAACAATTTCTGGCATTTGCTGTATTTATACCTGTTATCAATGATAACTCTCTGTGCTGTGAATGGAAACACCCTATTACTTATTTTCTCCTAAAAAAAAAAATCACTGAGCTTAGCTTCCTTTGAACTTACATCAATCATTGGCCGTCACCATGGGCTAATGTGGTTTTACCCAAGCCGACTATTTGACAGTGTCTGTATAGACATTTTATTAGTGGAATACTACTGGCATCTAGTGGATAAAAGACAAATAGACTTCAAACATCCACAGTGCATGGGACAGTTTTCCCAGTAAAGGTTTCTCTAGATGTGAACAGTACTCAGGTTGGAAACCTAATGTATGTGAATGGTGATGCTTGCTATCACCATTTTTAAGATATTCCTGACTATATTTCAGCTTAGTTACCTGTTACTTATAGCAATTCTTTCTAAGTTTTTTAAATTTTGTTTTTAAAATAACATACCATTTGAAAAATAAGTCTGTATGACAGTCCTAGAAAATATGTTATTAATGTGTTTTTATTCATTTTCATCTAGTAGGTAAGTTGTTTTAATAGTGGAATTGTTACATGTGCTCTGTACTGAGATAGTATTAAGTCAAAGACTATGCAAATGCTATTCTAGTCACATGGGATATTTTTGCAGAACTGTCAGTTGAATATGTGAAATACTAGATCCTTGGAGCTAAGGAAAAATTATTCTGAAGAGAAGAAAGCTAATATTTATTATTACTCTTTGTGTGTGTGTTTCATCTTTGTTTGGGGGCAAAGGTGGAGATGACTGGGCTTATTTTATGGTCTATAAAGGTTTTTTTCCTGAAATACCACTTATTTTTTTTAGTATTATTAGCAGTAGGAAAATTAATAAATCTAATATACTGAATGGCCATTTTGTCCTTTCTGAGTGTCTCAGCTAGTGTCTAAGTTTTTCAGATATTTTAAAATAACTATCTCATTCTAAGTGCCAATACTATGTTTTTAGTTTTAAACACATTACTATGTGTTTAGATAGAATTTTGCTTTAATTTCATGATGTAAAGCATTTTTGCTTATCTTGATAAATTAATTCCATAGCCAGAAAACAAGGGAACCTTATAATTCAACTGAGTATGTCTGATTTCATATCTTGAAACCATAAAAAGTAAAATTATAGTTTCTGTCTTACTGAACTAAACTGTCTTAGCTTTTTGCCACTGTGACAAGTCGCCTGAGAGAAAACTTTTCAGAGAGGAAGTATTCACTTATTTTTGCTCATTGTTTGGAGACTTTGGTCCATGGCTGGGGCTTACATTGGTGAGGGCATTATCTTACCTTTGCAGGAAGAAACCCTACATTGGTGTTCTTAGTCTCAAAACCTCCCAGCAGCCAGAGAGCTGGGAAGTGTGCTGGAGCCAGCAGGTCCCCCTTGTCCTTGCACCTACCTGTTGGGCACCAGCCTTGTGAGGTGGCACTAACCCTTCAGAATGAGCCTCCCCCCTTTATGTAGTCCTCTCTGGAAATGCCCTCAGATAGACCAAGAGATGTGCTCTGCTGTCTACTCTCTCAGTTCAAGTTATGTGTGTGATTAACCATCCCACAAAACAGCTTTCTGGATTTAATATTGGATGAGGTATCACACAGATGAAGGAAAAAAAAAAAGAATTGGGATTTATGTTAGCTTTACCAGCAGAAGGATGAGGTGTTTGATAATGTGATGCAGGTATCATTGATGTCTCAGCAGTTTAAGTTCTGCTTCAGCTACTTCCTAGCAGACAAATTAAGCCTTGGTTTTTCAGGTGAATGTGTCAGAAGTTAGGTGTGAGAAGCACATGAGACAAATACATATGTAGTGTGCAGTTTGTGTGTGTGGCAGTGAAATATAGGTACAACCACCACCTTTCTGCTTATTGGTGGTAAAATCATCTGTAGTAAAACTCTTCAGTGCTTTTACATATTTATGTAAAGTAAATCATTGTAATCTTAGGATGTATAGCAGTGTCTTCATGGTTGTGTTAATGTGTTTTCTTTTTCCTGTTGTTAAAGATACCCTATATTTGAGAATCCCTACCCTTTGAGTATACACGAGTCCCCTGTTACATGTTGTGAATATTTTGCTGATTGTCCTGTGGACCTCATTCCTGCACTTTATTCTGTTGGAGTTAGACAGAAACGTCAAGGCTACAGCAAAAAGGTACCAAACCCAAGTTCACTGTTTAATGTAGCATGTTATTATTATTTTAAGTTTGTCACCTTGAGATGCTGGTAATACCTTTAATTCTTCAGGAAATCATTTTTAGAAGTAAATTATGCACACTATGTTCATACCTACATAATATATCTATACATAGTATACTACCTATCTAAAATATAGAATATATATTCTCAAGCAATTTCCAATTTTTTTAATAGGAATGGCCCATCAATGGAGGTAATTGGGGATTGGGTGCTCAAAGTTACCCAGAAATAATTATTACAGGGTAAGTAAAAGTGTATTTTTTGCCAACTAAATGAGTAATTGCTAATATACTTGCTTAGGACAGTTTGAATCTTAACTCATTTGGTAAGTAAAGCTTCTCTATATGTTATAATGAGAAGTAAGTTATCAGCAAGAACTTGATGACTCTCAGTGATCTGTACCTTTTACTCATCTTTGTGAATGCATTTGTTGAGAAGTAAAAATATAACTTTTTTTTTTCTTTTTCATCACATTTTTCTCTCTTTTGTTTGTCCTAGGCATGCTGATGGGTCGGTTAAGTTCTGGGATGCTTCTGCAAGTAAGCGTTTTGAATATTTGAGTATTTAGTCATGTTTCATTGCCATTACCCTTATGCATGATGTTTTAAATAATTGTGTGAACCACATTAGATTTGAAAGTGCTACATTATCAGCACAATATTGGCTTATCAAATGTGCGAGTTGAGAATTTTGAAAAAATCCAGATATTTTAATGTTATTAGGAAGCCTAATAATAATTCTCAAGTGTTCTAATCTTTTCAAATATCTTCTTCAGAACTTCTCTTTAGAGGTCAAAAGTAGACATAAAAATAAATATATTTCAAATAGAAAATGCTTATGTCCAATTCTAAATTACTATTACAAAAGATGTTGTCCTTATGAACATATCTTATGGTTAGATAGTAGCAAAAGAGAGAAGAAACACCCTTAGTGATTGGAGAACATTTATAGCAAGCATTTATGAAAATCCTCTTTACTCGGGATAGCTGGTGTTTTATATGAATGTTTGATAATACTGGTGCTTTTTTTGGGAGAAAGTTTATTTAGAGGCTGTCATTTTAGGGAATAAAATATCTTCTCCATATGTTCACAGCAAAGATTTTTCTCCAATTTCCTTTTGTAGTTTTTCTTCAGGCTATCTAAATCCTTTGTGATGGTGGAAATGTCTGAATATATAATATACTGGAAAATAGATAGAGAAATGAAAGTATGCTATAGGTAAATATAGGCTATTTTCCTTCCATAACATGGTGATTGACCATTATATTGTTTTTTTAAGGTTTGATGGAATTTTTTTATTTACAGATTTTTCATATAGTATTTTGATCATATTCTTTTCCCTTCCTTAACTCCACCCAGATCCTTTCCACCTCCCTACCCATCCAAATCCTCCTGAAAAAATAATTTTTAAAAAAGAAATAAAAATCAAAACAAAAAAAACAATAGGACAAAAAAATTACCAAAACAAAACAAAATTGCCCCCACACACACAAAATGGAGTCTGTTTTATTTTAGTCCAATACTCTTGGGCCTGGATCCTACCCTGAAGTGTGATTGATATACCCAGTGATACCCTACTGGAGAATACTGATTTTCTCTTTCCCAGCATGTAGCAATTGTAAATAACTTCTTGATGATGGTTGGATTTTGTGTCTACTTCCCCTTCTCCATGCTGGGACTTTATCTGGTTTGCACTTGTGCAGATCTTCTGCATGCTGTCATAGTCTCTGTGAGTTCATATTTGCCTGAATATTTTGAGGAGGATTTAATAAAGACTCCCCTTTAGGGCTGAGTGCCAAAGTTTTCCACTCTCTATACATTGTCCAATCGTGGGTCTCTTTGTTAATTACTGTCTATTGCAAGAAGACACTTTTCCAATCAGAGATGAGATCTATGGATGTAGCAACATGTCCTTCTGAGTCACTTTATTCTTTATTCCTATACTTACCAAAATAATAGCAGTAGCTTTTCCCTAGGGTCTATGACCTAGTTAGTGTCAGATGCTTGCCCACTTCAACAGAGTCAGGTATGGGTTCCATGTCATCAAGTAGGCCTTAAATCTATTTTTTTAAGTGGTTGATTAACTTCAAACTATTTGTATCACTATTACACCAGTGTACTTTGCAAGCAGGCCACTGTTGTAGGTCACAGAGTTTGTAGCTCAGTGATATTTCCTCTTCTTTGGAAGTTCTTCTCCTCCCATCCTGGTCCCTTGTGTAGGGTGATAAATATAGATCTATTTTCATTCTTTACATGCAACTATCTACTTTGACCAGCCCTATTTGTTGAACATGCTGTGTTTTCTCCAGTGTGTATCTTTGGTTTCTTGTAAAAGCTCAGGTATCCATAGATGTATGGATTTATATCTTGATCTTTAATTCTATTTCTTGTTTCTCACAAATTAGGATGATATTGGCTGTGGGCTTGCTGTAAATTGACTTTATTGTGTTGAGGCTTGTTCTTTGTACCTAATCTACATCTAAGCGAGATGATTACGTGGTTTTGTCTTTTAGTCTGTTTATGTGGTAGATTACTTGCTGAGTTATGTTGAACCATCCTTGTATCTCTGGAATGAAGCCAGTTTGTTCATGGTGGATAATCTTTTTTTTTTATTTGTTCTTGTATTCAGTTCCCACGTATTTTTTTGAATGTATGTTTATAGGGGGTATTGTTCTTTAATTTTCTTCTGTTGTTGGATCTTTGTATGGTTTTGGTATGAAAGTAACCATGGCTTTGTAAAACAAACTCGGAAGTATTTCTTCAGTTTCTATTTGGTAGAATAATCTGAGGAGTAATGGCATTAGTTCCTCTTTGAAGGTCAGTAGAATACTGCACTGAATCCATCTGTCCCTAGATTTTTTGGTTGAAAATCTTTCTATGTATTATGGGCCTGTCTAAATAATTTATTTTATTTTAATTTTAGTAGATCATATACATCTAGAAATTCATCCATGTCTTTCAGGTTTTCTAGCTTGGTAGAGTACAGACTTTTTTAAGTTATGTCCCTATGATTCTCTAAATTTCCTCAGTAATGTCTCCATTGTGATATCTAACTTTCTTAATTTGGATCTCCTCTCTGTGTTGTTTGATTAACTTGACTGGAAGTTTGTTGATTTTTCTCAAAGAACCAAATCTTTGTTTCCTTCATTCTTTGTATTGGGTTTGTGTGTTTCTGTTTCATTGGTTACTCCCCTTAGTCTGATAATTTATTTCTTGCCACCTGAGTACTATTTCTTTTGGTTGTTTTTTTAAGAGCTTTTGAGTGCTTCGTAAATAAGTTATTAGTATGTGATTTCTGCAGGTTGTTGGTGTAGCACTTAGTGCTGTGCTACTGTTATGAACATGCTTCTTAAAGCCTGTGACATCATTCCCATAAGCTTGGGTGTGTTATGTTTTCACATTCATTCAATTATCAAATGTTCCTAATTTCCTACTTGATTTCTTTCTTGACCCAGTTTTCATTCAATAATAAATTGTTCCATTTTCATGAGTTGATATACTCCCTGCTGTTCCTTTGGTTAATACTGGGCAGCTGTAATCCATGGTGTTCAAGCGGGATGCAGGTGCTATTTCAGTATTTCTGTATCTGTTAAGACTTGCTTTGTGTCCTAATATGTGCTCAATTTTGGAGAAATGTCCATGGGCAGCTGAGAAGAAAGTATATTCATTAGTGCTTGAATCAAATGTTTTGAAGGTGTCTGTTAGGTCCACTTGATTTCTGACAACACTCAGATCCAGCGTTTCTCTGCTTAATTTTTGTCTGGATGACCTAGGTCTTGGCAAAAGTGAGATATTGAAGTCAGCTGCTATCTCAGAGGTCAGGATGTGATTGTATCTAGTGGTGTTTCTGAACTTGTGTTTTGTGTATAAGTATTTAGAATTGCAGTATCTCTTAGTGGATTTCTCCTTTAATGCATGTATAATGTGCTTCCCTATCTCTTCTGGGTTTTTTTGTTTAAAATGATAGTTTGTCACATGATAAAATGGCTAGACCAGCTTGCTTTTAAAGGTATTTTCTTGGAATGCCTCTATCCTTTTATTCTAAGTTTGTGTCTATCCTTGATGGTGAAATATATTTCCTGAATGTATCAGAAAGATGGATCATGTTTTCTAATCCAGTCTGTCAATCTGTGTCTTTTTATTGGGGAATTGAGACCATTAATATTGAGAATTATCAGTGATACGTCTATAAGTTCCTGTTATTATGGTTGTAGTAGTATCAGTGTTTTTGCCCCTCTTTTGATGAACCATTCTAGGATTGTTTATTCCTTGTGTCTTCTTAGATACAGTTAACCTCTTCAGGCTGAAATTTTTCTTGTAGTGCCTTCTGTAGAGCTGGATTGATGAGCAGCAATTGATTGATGATGCTTAAATTTGTTTTTATCATGAAATGTTTTTTTCTTGCTCCATCAATTGTGATTGATAGTTTTGGTGGGTACGGTAGTCTAATCTGGCATCGGTAGTCTTTCAGAGCTTATGCAAAGTCTTTCCAGGCCTTTCTGGTTTTCAGAGTCTCCATTGAGAGGTCAGGTGTTATTCTCACATGCCTGCCTTAATGTTACTTAATCTTTTTCCCTTAGAGTTCTTTGTTCTACACATTTATTCTTTTGATTATCATGTGTTATGTGGAAATTTGTTTCTGGCACTATCTATCTTGTATTCAGTATGCTTCTTTAGCTTGATAGGCATCTCTTTCTTTAGACTGGGTAACTTTTCTTCTATGAATTTGTTAAAAGTATTTTCTGTGCCTTTGACTTGCATTTCTTCTCCTGTCACTACTCCAGTTATTTGTAGATTGGGTCTTTGAACAGTGTTCCAGGTTACCTGGATATTCTGTTCCTGACTTTTTTTTTTTATTTAACATTTTCTTTAACTGAATTATCCAGTTCTTTGACCATGTCTTCAAGACCTGAAATTCTCTTTTCCATGACTTCTAAGCTGTAGGTGAGGTTTTTTTTTTTTTTTAACTTCTTGAGTTTGATTTCAGTTTGAGTTTTCTTTTAGTTTTTCTATTTCTTTGTTAATTTCTACTTTCATGTTTTGAATTGTTTTCATTGTCCCATTCAACTGTTTATATTGTCAGTCTTCATTGGAGCATTTATTCAGTTCCTCTTTAATATCCTTGAACATTTTTATGATTGATATTTTGAAGTTCTTGTATTATGTTTCAGCTAAATTGCTTTACTGAATTCCTGTTACAGTAATTTTGATGGCTTCTGAAGGAGGCATATTACCATGGTTGTTCGTCTGTATGGTTTTACACTGGGATCTAGGTATCTAGAGTCATGACTGTTAAAGTATTTCCTGATGTACATATCTGCTCTTATCTTTGTTGGGTGCTTGTTCAAGTCTTTGCTTGCTGTTGCCCACTCTGGGTTATAACCAGGTGTGGGGGGTCCCTAAATCCCAGAAAAGTATGGAGGCTGTTGGTTCCTAATAGAGAGAGATTTATGGGTTGGCAGGGAATCACAGAACAATGGAGATGGACAAGGAGTAGCTGAAAGGAGTGGAAGAGAAGAATTAGCAATTTTTGATTTTCAGCCAAAATTTATAATATACTTTCTTCTAGTAACTCTACAAGTACTGTATAAATTAAAAACATCTAAAGTGTTTGAAAAGTCAAGAAATAAAGATGACAGACCAAACACCGACATTGTAGATGAAGATCCATATGCCATTCAGATCATCTCCTGGTGCCCAGAGAGCAGAATGCTGTGCATAGCTGGAGTGTCAGCTCATGTCATCATTTATAGATTCAGCAAACAGGAAGTGGTTACAGAAGTCATCCCGGTAATCACCTCTTAACTATTTTCCTCATAGTTGTCTGATATTTTTAAGCTTTTAAAAATTAGTTAGCAAACAGTTTGTAATTGCTTTTGAATAAAATTTGAAAGCACTTTAATATTTATATCATCTGTTTTGTGAAAGTAGCACTTTTACATAAATTGTAATGGACTATCTGAAACTTTTAAATATGTTATATCTTTTATTTAAAGAATATCAACTTATTGGTACTCCATACATTCTAAAATCTTGATGGACATGTGTGTACATGTGTGAACTCCTACCCATGTGCATAAGGTTTTAAAAGTTGAGTCAAAGCTTTTTTTGTTTTTTAGAAATATAGCCTTTTTGTTACTTTTAAAGATATTATTTCTGGTACATTGTAATACAGGAGTTTTAAATATTAGGAATAGGTAAACAGCCATTCTTTTATGACAGATGCTTGAAGTTCGACTGTTATATGAAATAAATGATGTGGAAACACCAGAGGGTGAGCAGCCGCCACCTTTGTCCACCCCTGTGGGCAGCTCCAACCCTCAGCCCATTCCTCCTCAGTCTCATCCATCCACCAGTAGCAGCTCATCTGATGGGCTTCGTGATAATGTACCTTGTTTAAAGTAAGTTGCAAAACATTAGGTCTGTTTTACATGTTATCTCTTAATTTAGAAAATTAGTAATTAGTATACCTAAGAAATATTTAGCTGTGGTTAACCGAGCTTGTATTTTTATGGTATAAGAAGAATGATAATTTTATTGTGTTACACCTAATGTTATCAAAATAATGAGGTATGTTGTCTGTGAGTCACCCCATATGTATCACTACACCATCACATCTAGCCATGGTTTCATTCTGGAATTAGATTTAATTTGGTTTAGGTTCATTATCTTCTCTGAACTACGAAATTCTGCTTCTTTTTCATTTTCAGTTTGGATTCAGTATGCTCATATTTTATTTTATCTTTTCTTGAATCTTAGCATCACTTTATCTTTACTTACAAGACTTTAGTATCATTTTAAGATCATACTAGTTCATGCAGGGATAAATTAGATAAAATTTTGTTTTCATTTTTCTGTTTCGTTTCTATTTTTGTGTGACCAGATTCTTCAGCAGACCCAGGGAAATAAAGTGATGAGTGAAGAATTAAAATTGTTGAATTATATGAAGAGTGTGTGACCTAATGTGTTATATAGAAAGCAACTAAATTCATTATGGGTACAAAAGCTCTTCTTGTAGTGGATTCAAGGTGAAAAGGGTGACAAGGCAGCATTAGTACTAAGTGAAGAACTAGGCTTTGTGCTGATTTTACTATAGATCTGTTAGAAATCTTCTTCTAGTGAGTATGTGGTCATTAGAATGTTGATACAAAAAAAAAAAAAGCCACTACCCACATAAGACAGACATTTAAAAAAAAAGAAAAAAATCAAAATTATGTTTTTAAGATTCATTTATCTTTATTTTTATGTGCATTGGTATTTGCCTGCATGTGTGTCTGTGTGAGTGTCAGATTCCCTGGAACTGGAGTTACAGGCAGGTGTGAATTGCCCTGTGGGTGCTGGGAACTGAATCCAGGTCCTCTGGAAGAGCAGCCCGTGCTCTTAACTGCTGAGCCATCTCTCCAGCCCCCACAATTATGTTTAAAGGACATGTTTTACAGAAATTCCAAATGAGTGATTGTCCAGTAGGAATGGCCTTATCTGTTTCAGGGTATGTATCAGTGTCTGGAGATGCTGTTAGTTTCCCATGGGGGCTGGGGCTGTTCTTGATGAGTTGGTAGCTGGGAGCCTGAGATAAGGCTGGGATGGATCTATAGTGTACATGGCGAAGAATTGCATCCTTCAAAATGCAGTAGTCTCAAAGGGCCCCAGTTGTGCTTCTTCCCTTCCTTCCCATGTGTACCTCTCCTTTTCTATGCCTCCCCCTCTTCCTCTTGCTTCCTCCAACCTTTTCTTTATCTCCTTTATCTACAGTTCTAGTATACATTATCTAAAGTGAAACTTACAATATAATGTTTTATATTTTTGGTTTATTTATTACTCAATACTACTTCAACACAAAATTTTAAAATGTTTCTGCAATGTTTTAAGTTGGTTTCATTTTTTTAGTTTTTGTTAATTTTATAGATTAGTAAGATATAATTATCTTTTATGGGTATTTGTAAAATAGTTCTGTATTTCATCAGTTTTATCAGTTATATGAAGTAATGTTTTAGCACGTTTAGCACAATGTTATCACATAAAAATGTGAGATAATTTTGTCATCTTCAACAGAATTAGAATAGTTTAATTTGGGCTTTAGAATTATTTATGCCTCTAAATGTTCATAAGCTTCATATCCAACATTCTGAAACATGAGCTCAGTTTCCTACCTGAGGAATAGGCCCTTTTCAGTACATGGCTTTCCCATGCCAGGAGAGGCTAGGAAACAGTTATGACAAGAGACACAGGGCTCTCAATCCAGAGTTGCATGACCTCTCGCCTTGGCTTCCCAGATAAAAATGAAAGGCATCCAATAAGTGAGTCTTTGTCTGCTGATTTGCTTAGGTAGGTGTTTTTCCAGTTTTGTACTGACAGAAAGGACAAGGAAAATAAGTAAGTTAATAACCAAAAATAATTAAAATCTCCAGCCAGTAAACTGAAACACAGAGCCTGGAAATCTAAATCCTTTTCAGATACACTTTTTCTGGAACTGCATTTTCCATACTGTCCACAGGCTTGAGGTTATATACACCATCATTACTGTCTGACATTTGTATCTGTGGTGGGATGTGTTGACTTCTAATCTGCAAGTATTTAGTAGACTGCTACTTAATATGACTATCTTTTCAGTTGGGACTTCAAGGGATTCCTAATCTCTATTAAATCTCACCAGCCAACTTGTTAATGTTTAATATTCTTTGTTATTGGCATTAGCTGTTAGCATTTGTGTATTGATATACTTCTGCTCTCCTGGATTTACCCAATAACATATACATTTTTTTCTTAACCCTAGGAGAATTAATAGAGCTATGATATGATAAGTATGCCCTTCTTCACTTTTGAATGCCATTTTAGACTTCTAGGACATACTGAGTTTGGCAGCTCACTGTGGTGGTGTTTCCATTCTTGGAGGAGCTTGCTTTGAAGGTGTTTCTCACACTGCCCCATCAACCTCTTGTGACTAACTTTGACCTCTGTCAAGATAATGTCGTTCATGCCCTCTTCTTATCTTCACATGGATTCAGGGAACCCAGCTTCTTTTATAATAAAAGAACAAATGATTTCTAGATTTGCCCAGCAGTTACTAATAATTGCTATTTAATAGTTTCCAGTGATAATTGCTATAAAAAGTATTTTTCAGAAAAACAAAATAGCGACTAAAACCCCTATGCTTTTCCATTAAATGTTTTATTACTCTATGGTTAATTTTTAAATGTATATTTTTATTCTTTGAAAATTTTGTACATGCATTCAGTGTATCCTGATTATATTCATATCCTACTCCTCCTCTTAACTTCCCAGATCCCCCTACAAACTTCATGCCCTCTTTTTTTTTTTTTTAATGACCTACTTCGTCCGATATGTGCTGCCCATATACCATCCAGTGCATAGGCACACTGGATCATGGTCAGCCTATAAGAGGAAACACCTTTAAAGAAAACTGACTCTCTTTCCTCCAACAGCTCTCAATCGACAACAGCTCCTCACCTAGAAATGTGTGCTGGAATAGTGACTCGCTTGATCTTTGATATTTATTGTGTAGGCAGCCACAGTTGCTGTGAGTCTATGATCAATTTTTAACCTCTTCTGAAAACTACTCTTCTCCTAAATTTGATTAACCTGAAATCCTACAGTATAGTTGCTTGGTGAATGGTAAAATTGAACTCTAAATATGTCTTTTAGACTTGAGCAGATTTGTAACTTATGTGTAGTGAGATGGATGTTCTTCATTCCTAAGCTGCCTGAGTTTGGAATGACCCCAGGGATAGGCCTCTGAGTGTGTATTGAGAGCATTTGCAGAGGTCTACCTTCGGGGAAGTCTCAGGGTGGATCTAGTGGTGTCATCTTATGGACTATGGTTACAGGGTCAACAGAAAGGGGAGATTGGGAAGCCACTAACACCTCCACTCATCTCTCTTTATTTCCTTCAAACCCACTGCAACCATCTCCTCATGATCCTACAGCCATGTCATCCGGTCATAATGGGGTGTGACCCCTGGAACTGTGAACCAAAGCAAACCCTTCTTTCTTCCAGCAGCATTTGTCACAACAGGAAGAACAGCAGAGTCACTGCCAGGAGGTGGGGTTGCTGCCGAAAGAAGGCTGGCTGTGTGGCTGTTGGGCAACTAGTTTGTTAGAGGAATGGTGGAGGATTTGGAGCCATGGGCTACAGAGACCCTAGACAACTGTAAGCAGAGCTTAAGGGGCTGTTCTGACAGGAGTTTGGAATACAAGTACTCAAATAGAAATTCAGACAGTAAAGACTTCATAATCAAGGAAAGTTAAGACTATACCAGGAGCTGGGCCAGAGCCATTCATGTTATAGTCTAGCACAGATTCTGTCTCCATGCTGAGAAATTAAGGGAAGCCGACTTTATTTATTTTTTTTATTTTATTAGTTCAAATTAGGAACAAGCTTGCTTCACATGTCAATCCCTTCTCCCTCTCCCTTCCCTTTCCCCCCAACATCCCACCTGCCCCTAGCCATCCCCCCTCCACTCCCCAGGAAGGTTAAGGCCCTCAAAAGGGGCTCCCCAAAGTCTACCACATCATCCTGGGCCAGGCCTAGGCCCTTCCCCATATGTCCAGGGAAGCCGAATTTAAAAATAAAACACTACATTGTTTGACATAAATAAATTTTTTATTAATTTATTTTTTACATTCCAATCCCAATAACCTCTCCCACCTCTCCCCCTGCTTCCCCCATTCTCTCCTCTCCTCCCATCTGTTCCTCAATGTCTCCTCTCTTTGTGTAACTCTGTCCATCCTCTAGTTTATTCACTTATTCAGTGAATCTTGGATACCTCCTTTGTTATAGAATATTAAAATTAGCCCAATATTCCTGCCTTCCTCAGCAGGTGAGGTGGACCAGCAGGTAAAGGTGGTTACTATCCTGTCTGATGACCTGGCTTTGATTCTTAGAACCTGTATGATGGAGAGCAAGGACTGACCCCTGTAAATTGTCCTCTTTGCGTGAGTGTGAGTGTGTGTGTGTGTGTGTGTGTGTGTGTGTGTGTGTGTGTGTGTAATAAGCACACAATAAAAATTAGTAAATAAATGTAAGTTTATTTTTGATTTATATCTTCCGGAAGCTTATAAGCCCTATCAAGTCATGTCAGAGCAATCAAAACAACTTCCTGATTGGTTCACCTGGTCCGCTGGGTTTGGCATGTGTCCACAAATGTACCTCCTTTACTTCCTTTTATGTGATAAAAAGTAACCCACTAAAAACAACTGTTTGTACTTTTCTTTGACTTTTATAGTGGCTTTTTTTTTTTTTTTTTTTTTTTTTTTTTTTTTTTTTTGTTGTTTTTTTGGGTTTTTTTTTTTTGGTTTTTTTTTTTTTTTTTTTTTTTTGGTTTGGTTGGTTTGTTGGGTTTTTTTTTTTGTTGTTTTTTTTTTTTTTTTTTTTTTTTTTTTTTTGGTTTGGTTGGTTAGTTGGGTTTTTTTTTTTGGTGATTTTAAGTTTTATTTTTTGATTTATTTTTTTTTCTTTCTGCTTTCTTGTTGCTGCTATTGCTCGTTCTTTAACCCACCCTTCCCTGTTCTTTGTTCTTCATTTCCTCCATTCTCCCTCTGTTATTTCCTCCGATCCTTCATCCTTACCTGTCTCCCCAGGTTACATCCATAATTTGCCAGCATTTCCCTACCTCTGTCACTCTGGGATGTGTTCATCTCTCCAACTGAGTTAAATGCTTCTAGAATACAACACAATGGTCTGACTTTTACATTTTAGGAAATCTAGAGTGGTTGCCTGTATAAAATTATTTTTTGCATGACTATGTCTGATTTCATGTATGAAGAACAGTTGATTGGAACTGTGTTAAAAAGTTAACATGTCTTCCTTTCTTCTTTTTTTTCAGAGTCAAAAGCTCACCACTTAAACAGTCTCCAGGTTATCAGACAGAGCTAGTTATTCAGTTGGTGTGGGTGGGTGGAGAGCCTCCCCAGCAGATCACCAGCCTGGCACTCAACTCTTCCTATGGGCTGTAAGTATGAGGGTTGTTGTCGTTGTTTTGTTTATTGTTTTTTCTCAGTCTCTTCGTAGTAGTCCCTATATATAGGACTGCTATATAGTAGTCCTATATAATTTTGTATTTACATATAAAAGTATAAAAATACTTGGGCTTTATTGTATCATCACTTAAAATGTTGCTTTGTAATTATAATTTCAATATTTTTTGCTTTATTTGAGATGTGGTTTTGTTTTGAATACTTCTTGTATATATGTACTGTGACTACTGATATAAAATGTTGGCAGTGTTCATTGGAGGTAGTCAGTATACCCTCTCAGTGTGTCCCTCCAGAAACAATGTTCTCATATTTCTCTTAAGAAACTCTAACATAACATTTTACAAATGGATTCTGTAGTTCTGAACTGTAACTATATCATTTTTTTCTGTTTCCAAAGTAAACTTGTACAAATTTCTAAGGGGATAGCCTTCAATATAGATAAAGCAGTTGTTATTTTTTTTTATTTGTAGAACCTCACCATCACTGCTGTGTACTATCTATTACAGAAGTGTCCATGCACAGCCCCTGTACTGTCTATTATAGAAGTGTCTACACACAGCCCCTGTACTGTCTGCTATAGAAGTGTCTGTTCACAGTCCCTGTATTATTACAGAAGTGTTTATGCACAGCCCTGTCTTGTCCTCAGTAGTAGCTGTAGGGAGCCACCTGTCCTTTTGTTCCTGCTAACTCAATATCAGTCCTCAGTCTCTGGGATGTGTACGTCTAATTTAAACTGGTTATAAGCTGATAGGCCTCTTTGATACCTTTTATTATCTGCCTTATAATGGAAGAGCACAAACCTTCACCTTCTAAAAACTCTATTGAGAATAACTATTAAAAAAAACAAACTACAGATTAAAAAAAAGAATCAATAGGAAGTTTCAAAAGTAATTAAAAATTAAGCAACTAATTATAGGATTTATTGTGTTCATGGAGTTGTTTGTTGGTAGAAATTTTTGCACTTTCTCTATTTTTAAGTTTAAATTAGTTGCCAAGACTACATAATGAATAGATCCATATATAATGCTTCAATTGAAAAATCTTTCTGACCCCTTTGTGCATTCATACACAGCGTCACCATCTGGACCAGAGGGGAAATTTTCCTCTTTGAGTTCATTATCTGCTTTTCTAATCTTACCCATCCTTTTTGACTGTGAACGTAGCTTCTCTGCACAGGCCAGCTACCATATGCCCTCAGGGCCCTTAGAGTGAGAATCCTTTGTACACAAGAGATGAGGTTATGGCCCCTAAATTGTAATGAAGAAAGATTTTGAACACCTCAAAGGGAGTCTCCCAAGATTTATACTTCCTTTTTATTCTTGACAGAGGAATCACAGAACTTATTCCAACTTATAATTCCATTTTCCTAGGAGCAGAAAAATAGACATTATATTACTTAGTGTGTGGTGTGTGTGTATGCGGGGGTGTATTTCTGATCAAGCTTCAGCTTGTGTCAAATATTCTTATAAATGGTGCTAATGCTTGATTTAATGATGTAGATAAATGTCTACAGAGATGTGAATAGTTCCTTGAGAAGGGCTATATACTCTGTACTCCCATGCTTATACTTGCCTTTAGTTTCAGGCAACCAAGGCGAACCCCTACATTCTATAAACCCCCTTGTGAGCTCACCCTCACACACTTCACACACAAATAGTAAATAAGATAAATAGAAGAATTTTCTGAAAGGCCCACCATCCTATTTTCTTCAGCTTTATAGTTTACATTTCTTTTAATAACTGTTTGTACTGAGATCCTTATGCTTCCCGCTGCCAGGGTGGTTTTTGGCAACTGTAATGGCATTGCAATGGTTGACTACCTCCAGAAGGCAGTACTGCTCAACCTCGGCACCATCGAACTATACGGCTCCAACGATCCTTACCGGAGAGAACCCCGGTCACCTCGGAAGTCACGACAACCTTCAGGAGGTAAAAAGAAAAGAAAAATGTCCTGAACTTTAAATGCTGCAGATGCTCACGTGCATGTGTCCCTTGTGCATGCATGTGTCCCTTGTGTCTGTACATGCTACACTTAAGCAGACAGCTTGTCTGATTTGAACTGGAAATATAAACAACCAAAGACTAGCTAGAGAGAGGAGTCTTGATTTGGTTTTGTGCTGCCTTTACCTTTTCTTTTGTTCTTAACAATCTAGAGTTGTATTGATGTCACAAGAGAACCAATGTCATACTTCAGCTAAGACATAATCCTAAGAATATATGTCCAGTTATTATAGAATAGAAATCCATTTCACAGTTTTGTCCCTCTCAGCCAATAACTGAGTTTGAACCATTTAAATCAAAGTAATCGTTCCTGGGTGAAAGTGGGCAGAGAGGTGATTTACATCCCTGATGATGAATATGCGCAGATAGTCTTAATTCAGCACAAACTCAGGCTCACTAAAAAATAATAATAAAAAAATCTTTGTAGCATTCTCTGGTGTTTGCCAAGTATCTAGTATTAATCAGTACTAAGTGTTTTAATGTGGGTACCTCTTAGAACATAGAACACACATATTTCTACCTAGGTATCCTGTACCTCTTGCCTGTATTTTACTGCATGATATATGGGAAATAATTTGTACATACGACATATGGAGTGTACTAATGAGACCTCTAGCAATAATGGAAAGTGGGCTTAGTTTTTCTGTGGGCCCTCCCAGCTACCAAGGATTGAGGGGAACCCTTGTTTCACTCACCTTGTTTCATTCACTGTAGAATCGTGGTGAGCATTGGAGCACTCTTTAGGGAACTGGTCTAAATATTCTCCCCTTTCCCACAGAATTAATGTTCTCTTTGATTCAGAGTGGTCGGACCCATGATGCCTAACACCATAAATTATGTACATAATACATACATGCACACATTCATATCCCCCATGCACACACAGAGAACATTTTAAAATTCTCTCAGGTTTAAGTTGCTCTCAGTACATTATTGACTAATGATAGCTACTTAGCTTGTAACATGTGAGAAAACTAAATAAAAAATAAAGGTAATATTAGGCCTTCCTTTCATTTTGCTTAAAGGTTGGAATTTTCTTTCCAGAGTTTGTTTCGCGTTGTCTGTCTGGGTGTCTGATCATTTTGTCATATATTATCTTCAGCAGAAATTCTGTTTCAACCATGCCATTCTAGTACCTGTCTCCTTTCTTTTTCCCTCCGTCCTCATTGCCTCACTAAGGTTTGCTGGTTGTGACTTCTTGCATGTGCGGCCTTTCTAGCTTGTACTCTGAATCAGTGAAAAAACTCCGTTCTTCCTTCCTAAGTAAGTCATTCATGTCTTGACATTTCTGTTCTGTGTAAGATCATTGTTTTGTTTTTCATTTTACTTACCAACTAAAATACTTTACATCTGAAAGACTAAGCTCATTATTTAGACTTATCTCATAACAGCCATTTAAACAATACGCCCTAACCCAATTTCTTTATAAAGCAAAGAAAGAAATATTTGTGAAAGAATATTAAAATATTTTCATGATTTTACAAACTTGTAAAAATCTTAGTAGCCTTAAAATTAATTTCTTTCCCCCTTTATGCTTTAGAAGGTTTACATTAAATTGCTACTTAATTAAGTATCCAAACTTATCTTAGAATGAGACAAGTTTTATTATACAATTAATTTTTTTCTTAAATTTTACTGCATCCTGTTTTATTACATAATAAACCTCATAATATCATTTATATTATTATTTGCTTTGTTTTATATTGAAGAATTAGATGGCAAGCATCTGAACACTGTTTCAAGTTTTTATTAGGTTAAAATGTTTCACATTGTAATTTTGCCTCAGTTTATCATTATTTAAGGTTTCTTAAATAAAAATTTAAAAAGTATAGGCCTGGGGGTGTACATCTGTGGTAGAAGAGATGGCTTCATGGACGGAGGGAGGGAAAGAGGGGTTAATTGTTTTTTAAATGTTTCTAATAATATTTTGAGAATATTTGTGCCTTTGATTCAAAAAATGACTTACTTATTTTTCATATAAAATAAACTGCATAATAATTGGCATTAAAATTCTTCAATTGTATTGATATAAAAGAATGATATTCTTAGCCAAGTGTTGGGGTACATGCATACCCTAGTATGTGGGAAGCTGAGACAGGAGGATCTCCTCAAACTCAAGGCTGGCCCGCAGAATCCTTGCCTTAAAATTAAAAGCAGACTGGTGATCTCAAGGGGTACATTTGCCTCCCCTCCCAGCACTGGGTTTCAGATACCAGCTCTGGCACCTAGCTTTCTTGCTTGCTTGCTTTTTCTTGTCTTCTTCCTCTTTCTCTTCTTTTATTTCTCCTTTTTCTCCATCCTCCTCCTCCTCTTTTTGTAGCATGTTCTTGATCTGTAGCACAAGTGCCAGCCATCACTGTTCTTCATCCTCTTTTAGTAGGTCACTTTGAATGGGGAATTGTATTTACTACCAACAGATAGAACCTATTTTGATTAAGACTGGGGTCACTTATGAATTTGTTTTATAAGATAAATCATTATCATTTGAAGCTTGAAAATGTTAACTCTCTTATTACATTACATCTGAAATATTACTTGAAATATAGATTGAGGGTTCCTAAGGAAAACTGTATAGCTATTGCAGGGATGCTAGCGCCCAGGGGATACCTGAACCCATTTCAGACCCTCTGTGTATTATGCTTTTTTTTTTTTTTGTCCACATGCATTCCTGTGACAATATCTAATTAGAATGAGGCACAGTAAGATTACCAACAGTAACTAATACTAAAATGAACAATCAGCATTTATATATTAAAGCTCTGTGTATGTGGTCTCTCTCCTTCAAAATGTCTTACTGCTGTGCATTCTCCTCCACCCTGTGGTGATATGGCATGGTTCTCAAAGCAGTTTATGGCTCTTATAGGCACATCAGCATCTGCACTCTTGTGAGGTACTTGACCATAAGTGCTACAACTCTGAACTGTTTAGTCAATAAGCAAGACTGGTCCTCTGTGACTAATGGGCAAGTGGGAATATATTAGAATAGAGTAATGATGCCTCTGTGCACTGCCCAGAGAGGTCCCTAGTTTAAAATGTAAGAATTATGTCCAGAATTTACCATTTAATATTTCAGACCAAGTTAACAGTGAGTAGACGATACCATAGAAAGTGAAACTGGAAGAAGAGGTGTGTGTATGTTAATCACAGTGAGGATTACAAAAGGAGGGCTGCCAGGTGGTGTGGCAGGTAAAACACTTGTTGCCAAGCCTGATGGCCTGGGTTCAGTTCCCTGAACCTGAACATGGAACAAGTGAACCCGTTCCCACAAGTCGTCCTCTAACCTTTATATGTGCACTGTAGCACACACTCCTCACACTCATACATACATGCGTGCACACTGAATAAAGAGATGAATTGAAAGTATTTTGAAGAATGTAAAAATGCACTTACACCAGTAAGTACTATACTTAGCAACTGCAAGATTGTCATTTCATGAATTAATAGGAAGCAGATCCCCACTGGACCCACGATATACATGCTGTGACTCTAAGCTTCTTCTGGGGCTTTAGTGTGCAGGCCAGTTTCTCAGCCAATACAAACTTCCCAATAAGTGCTCCTCCTGCTACTTTTAGCCTGGGTTCCTTGCATGAAAATGGATTTGGAAGCTTATTTACTTGAACAAAGTTGGTTTATCAGTTGCTAAACCAATGCTCTTTCTGAGCAACCATTAGCTGTCTGTAACTGAAAAGAGTAATAGAGGCTTCTGAGTCCCCTTCCACACTTGTGATGGAATAGTGGTTGGCCCACTCATGTGAGGTCTTGTATAAAAACAACCACTGCCGTGGGTTCACAGCCGCAACACAATGTCATGTTCAGAGGACAGCCATTCACAGCACTCACATCCAACTTTCAGCTCTGTATTCTTTCCACCCACTGTCCTGCAGTGTTCCCTAAGTCTCAGAGCAGTTGGTACAGATGTCCTGTTTAGCGCTGAGCACCCAAGTCACATATTCTCAACATTTTGATCAATTACGAGTCTTTCCCTCTTACCCACTGCAAAAGAAGTTTCTCTGGCAAGGAAGAGAGTCTTGATCTATGAGTACAAACTTAACTGTTGAGAAGCCAGTTTGACACTGTATCAGTTTAGCAGAACAACAGTAGTACATTACAAATACACTCACACTCACATACACACACACACACACACACACACACACACACACACACACACACACACACACACATCCCATAACTTCACCTGGCATGGGGTTTTGATTACTTTTCAGTGTAAAGCATGAATATTCTCCTGTGTGGTTGGCCTCAAGTCCAATCAGAAAGTGCTCGATACAGATAATCCCATAACAGTCTTGCCAGTGTGTCACATCATGCCTGGCAAGTAAGTACTGTAGCTCATAGGGTTTACAAGTGTGTGACATTTTATTATTGTCATCATTACTATTAGCTTATGATATAATAGGTTCCCATGCAGCTTTTTCAGACATCCTTCATTTTAGTTCATCCCTTCCCTTTACTTCCTCATAAAATATTTTGCATTGCTTTTTATTATAATTTTGGCCAACTTATAGTATGGTTCATATATAATTTATATAATTCATATCTACCTTGAGATAAGTCTTTGTTAAGAGGTTTTTAAATGGGCTATTATAGCTTTTAAGAGGCATACTGTATAGGATAGGTAATGTGCAATATTTAAAATATTACAAATTTAAGAGTTAAAAATATTTTCAAAAATATTTAAGTAATGTGTTCAAGACATACTTAAGGAAAACCACTTAGAAATTTGAGTTGAGGACTCTTGTGATATAAAAATTACCAAACTTAAGTGCTTCTTCTCTCTTGAGAAAGTCAAAGGAACATGTCACGTGTCTGCACATCTCTGGTGTTGTGCAAGTCTTGGGTCATGTCTGATATCCTTCAAGAATAACAAATCACTTCATTTAGAAATTCTGTTTCTAATTTTTCTTGATCCATGGACTGCAGCCATATTAGTTGGAGATATTTTACCAGAATATTCCATCTCGAGCATCATCATTGCTATGCCCATTAATCTGTCTTTTATTGGTTAGTAGTAAAATAGACCCTGTGGGCAGGAGGTGAGCTCGCATAAATGGATGTGGTCTCATGTGTTCTTATTTGCCTTTCAGCTGGCCTATGCGACATTACTGAAGGGACTGTTGTTACAGAGGATCGCTGCAAATCTCCAACTTCTGGTAATCTGGTTTTTATTTCGTTATGATTAAAAAATAATTAAGATGATTTATCAGTATATTGTCTTATAAACACTTTTAACTACTTATGAGAAACATCATCTGTCTTTCTTAAAGTCATAACTGTTTTAATAAGGGAAAAGAAATGTGGCACATGCTGATAAAAATCCTTAGCTTGTGCCTATCTGGGCTTATTTCATTGCTCAGTTAGCTTTCTTACAGTTAGCAGTGTTAAATGTGTTTTCTGTTTACCATTGAATTGATGCTCTAGTTATCTTGGATCTGTGCTTCTAGATACTCCTGGCAATGTTTAGTAGAATGGAATAAGGATCAATGAAAAGCTGATTTTTTTTTTTAGTTGAAAACTTATACTTTTAGATACTCCTGGAAAATATTTAGTAGAATGGAGTAGGATCAATGAAAAGCTGATTTTTTTTTTTAGTTGCAAACTTATGCTTTTAGATACTCCTGGAAAATGTTTAGTAGAATAGAGTAGGATCAATGAAAAGTTGTTTTTTAATTGAAAATTCAACTTTTTGGCAATTGTAAAATAATATCCATTCCAGTGCTATGACAGATTTTTTTTCTTTTTTGATGACTGATAGGGATCAAACCCAGAACTTTGTACATACTAGGCAAGCTCTTTGCCATTAAGTGACACCTCCAGACCCAAAAGTTATTAAAGATTTTGATACAGTCTGAAGATGCGGACTCTGATGAAAATTGTAACCTATTTACATTTGTTTTTCATTTGATCAGGGCCATTTCTAGTGTGTTTATGGACTTGTCAAAGCAGCTCCTTTTTATTTGCAGAGTCTTTATATGCCCCTGTGTCTATTAATATAACACAGTAATGTTCTTTTTAGTATATTTGAGTATCCTTAGAAATGAAATCTCTAGTTTATTATTATGGGAGATTGTAACATTACTAGTCTTTAATAAATTTAACTTCACTATTTTAATTAAATTTATTATTTTTTTCTACCTAGGAATCTTCATTAGCTTTTCTCCTAGGAAGATTTTTCTTGGCATAAGTCATGTTTAGGTTTCTGTCTTTCACTAGCCATTCTACTATGTCGGAAAGAATTGTAAAATGGGTTGTACTGTGAGGAGTAATTTTTTTGAAGTTTTTAAAAGGCTTATTATTATTTTTTAATTTTTGTAATTAATTTTTATTAGTTCAAATTAGGAACAAGCTTGCTTCACATGTCAATACCTTCTCTCTCTCCCTGCCCCAACCCTCCCCCCGACCCAACCCCCCACCTGCTCCCCACCCCATCCACTCTCCACTCCCCAGGCAGGGTAGGGCCCCCAGAGTCCACCATATCATCCTGGGTTGGGCCTAGGCCCTACCGCATGTGTCCAGGTCTAAAGTGCATCCCTGCATGTGGGATGGGCTCTCAAAGTACCTTCTTACACCAGGGAAAAATACTAATCCACTACCAGGGGCCCCCTAGAGTGCAGAGGCCTCCTCATTGACATCCATGTTCAGGGGTCTGGATCAGTCCAGTGCTGGCCTCCCAGACAGCATCTGGGGTCCATGTGCTCCCCCTTGTTCAGGCCAGCTGTTACGGTGGGTTTTACCAGCCTGGTACTGACTGACCCCTTTGATCTTCATTCCTCCCTCTCTGCAACTAGGTTCCAGAGTTCAGTTCAGTGTATATCTGTGGATGTCTGCCTCTGCTTCCATCGGCCACTGGTTGAGAGCTCTAGGATGGCATAAAAAGTAGTCATCAGTCTCATTATAGGGGAAGGGAATTTAGGTTATCCTCTCCACCATTGCCTGGATTGTCAGTTCGTGTCATCCTTGTAGGTCTCTGGAAATCTCCCTAGTGCCAGATCTCTCTTCGGACCTATAATAGCTCCCTCTGATATGGTATCTCTCATCCTGCTCTCCTCTATTCTAAACCCAACTGAACATTTCTGCTCCTCCATTTCCTCCTCTCCCCTCCTTTTCTCCTCCTCTCATTCTGGCAGCTGCCTCTCCCCTACCCTCATGCTCCCAAGTGAGGAGTATTTTTATCCCTGCCATGTTTCTGTTTCTGCTTTATTAGCCCTAAGTTGATAAAAAGTTTTGTGTTTTCTTTTTCTAATTGTTTTCTAATTTTGCACCAATTGATTTTATTTTTCAAAATGAAGAGTGAACTAGGGAGAAGGACCATGGGTAAGGTGCTTGTCTTTGGTAAGATAGGAGTTTGTTCCTCAGAGCTTACACAGAAAAGCCAAGCACAGTGGTGTGCTTTTGTAACTCTAGCACTGGGGAAATGAAGATAGTGGATCCCTGTGGCTTGCTTGTCACATAATCTTGCTTGTGTGGCAAGTTCCAAGACAAGAGTGCTGCCTCAAAACACAAGGTAGATAAGACCTAAGGAATGACACCTGGGATTGTTCTTTGGCATATACACACACCACACACACACACACACACACACACACACACACACACACCTAAGGAATGACACCTGGGATTGTTCTTCGGCATATACACACACACACCACACACACACACACACACACACACACACCAGTACACAGCACACACATGAACAGGCACTCACAAAGAATCTATCCACACAGGTATTTTGTTCTTTAAAACTCCTATTTCAGTTTGCCCATTAAACTCCTAAACGTAGAGCTACAAAAGCCACACTGCTACCTACCAATCAGTAAATATATATACAATAGAAAATAATTACTTTCCCTCTTATGGGACTGACATCTTTCTAAACTAAGAGTTACAATCGTAGTATATCTTCATTGCTCCTTCCAAGTACATTCAGTTTATTTCTGCTCTTCCCACCTTCCCAAAAGACCAATCAATTCAGTTATCCAGTATATTAAGGACCTGTGGCTATTTGAACATAGAACAAATCACACTTAAACCGATAATTTGTGTAGTTACATTCAGCCCAAGTAAATTAATATCTCTTTTCACACTAGGCCAAACTTTAAAATAGGAGGTGGATAAAGCATTTAATAGTAACACACAGCTTTAGATAAATGCAAAAAGATAATTGATTATAAACATATAAATATAGAAAGTACATAAATTTGTACTCTAAATCCCATCCCAGAGATCCTCAAAGTAGAGGAAACCCAAATGTGGTTCAACATTTTAAAATATATTTTGCTAATTGGTTCATATGCAAACCTAATATGATTTTAACATTGATAAGATGCTACCTGTTTTTATTGTTTCTAAGATTTCTATCAGTTTGAAGCACAGAATTGAAGTTGTAACCCCAAGGAGATCAGTGACAAGACATGAATTTTTATTCATAAATACAAAACCTACAGTGTACTCAGATTTGCCTTTGCTCATGCTCAGATGGTAGACGTCTAAGGAGTTAAGTCTGTTCTTACACATCAAGAAAAATTGTTCCTCAAACAGGCCAAACTTCATAGGCAGTGTTAGCATCTAAACACTCTGGATGCCCGTGTGTAGAACTGAGCACACTGAAGTGCTCCTGTCAGGCCCCCTCTGGTCACTGAACTTTTGCAGCTTACGTATATTTTTCTATTAGTTACTAGTATTCTTTGTTGTCATGGCCTGATTATCTTACTCTTAATATTTGTAGTTGTTTTGCCATCATCCATTTTTACCTCCTAACTGAGATTAAAGGAAAGATTTATTATCATTCAGTTTTCTTGCTAGCAAAATAAAATATATTAATAAAAATGGATCAAATTAATTTGAGGTGACTCAAAAAGCCACACTTTTCTTTTTCTTAATTTATTTGCTTTTGGTGTTTTGAGACAGACTTGGCTAGCCTGGAACTCATTATGTAAACCAGGTTGGGCCCTGCCTCCTATGTGCTGGGATTAAAAGTGACCACACCCAGCTTTTTTTTATTATTGTTTTCAATAGCATGAAAATAACAAAAATACTTGACTGAATTACTCACAATGAGATAGGATATAAATAAATAAAATAGTTAAATGGCACATAATAAATCATTAAAACAATAATTAATATTTAAAAGTTAGTATTTGTAGAACAGGAAAATATGTACAAAAGTGAATTGGAACTTAGAATGTCTGCCTCAGAAGTACTAAAAAGAGATCACTATTTTGAAAGTATAAGTGCCTGTGTGCCTTCTGTCAAACTTGGTGCATTGACCAAAACTTACACATACAATGAAGAAAATTGAGGATCTTTTAAATTCTATAACCAAAATAGTCAGCTGTCCAGATAAGTATTATAAAATCCCTTTTCAGAAAACATGTTTCAAAGCGTGTTAGAGAGTTTCCCTTTCCATTTATTTTAAAATAAACCAGTGGTCTGTGTGAAGCTGATATCAGTGCTGGATACATCATGAGCAAGTGGAAGTGATGACTGCCTAGACCTTTATTTCAGGGAACTCTGACTGTTTCATCTAGCTCTTTAGAAATGCTTCGACCTCTTTGTAATGCACTTGTTTATATTTATATAGACGTAAAATGCTACAATGATTTTAGAAATCTGTTAGGCTATTTCAAACTGAAGAGTCACACATAGCCTGCTATAAATGGTGACTTTCAGGGTTTATATGCGGCCTGGAGAAAAATAACAAGTTGTAGATGTTTAATTCCAGCAATCTGGTAGATTTATTCAAATAAACTTTGTAATTTGTCTTGTGTTGTCATAGAAATTACAACAACCAGTAGTAAGATTTTCAACTATATTTCCTGTTTATGTTTAGAAAGCACCAAATATTTTTCTAATAATAATATAAGGAAATGCTAGCCTGCTATTACTCTGATAAGTGATAAATAAAATAAAGCTATTGTTAATATACATTTACCATAGATTTATGCAGCCATTTGGTACCAGAGATGATAGTATTTTAAAATGTGAAATTCCAATGACCATTATACTCTTTCAATGTGTTGTATTTATATAAAAAGTAGCTGACGCTGTTTCTGCTCTGAACTATTGCTGTGGTCATTGATGGCTTTGTGATAGTTCTGGGCAAGATTTGGGAGAATCTGTGGATGGTTTCAACAAGAACAACATGGGTTATTCAGAGAGTACTATTTGCAAACCTTTGTAGGTATGACTGGATTCTGCCCATGTTGGCAGGCTTTTCTTGGTGAGAATGTCTCCCTGGCCATAGTAAAGAATGATGACTTTTGGAGAAGTCAAGTTCAAGGTTTTGAGTTTCTACCTAATTGACTAAGGTTTATTAGTTTTACAGGGACTATTTTAGGCATAAAAAGGAAATCTTTTTATTTACTCTCAGTTCTTTTTATGTATTTTCTCCTAGCAAAAGACTTCATTCATTTAGTTTACTATGAACTAGTGACATCTACATGAAATACACACCATTGATCGAAAGTGGGATGTAAAGTCAATTAGAATTTCTCTCAGTGAGGGAAGGTCATCTGTGTCTAAATTTAAAAATACTGTATAACTAAATGGTAAATATTGTATCAGAAGTACATAAAGTATCATGAGGACTTAAAGGGGGGAGTAATCTCTAGTTGGGAAGGTGGTGAATAATTTGATCTATGAGATATGTTGAGATGTACTTAATAGTTATCTAAATGTTATATTTCCTTTCTGTGTTCTTTGACTTATGAATGATATAAAACACAACAAGATTTTGCCTAGTTATTATGTATCACAAAGCTGTTAGAAATAAATTTCTATATAGTAGGGTCTGCTATACAAGACTGTATACTACTGAATTCAGTACTGGGATATTCTAGAATTGAGGTCACCAGGGTTTTAATCTGTGATCGTTTGCTGTGCCATCTCTGTGTTTGTGACTGACCGTGTGACCCTGTTCCTTCCATTGTCTTCGTTTGTGTAGGTTCTTCATCACCACACAATTCAGATGATGAACAAAAAGTGAATAATTTTATAGAAAAGGGTATAGTATCTTTATTTTAAAGTATCTTATTTTATTTATACTTAATTTATTTAGTTTACTCTGAATAGATTTTGACATTTTATATTAAAATGTTATTTTCAGTGAAGACCAAAAGCAGAAAGTTTTCCAAGATGGTAGCCAGTGATCTAGGTAGGAAATAGAAGTTTTTATTTTGTTTCTAATTGTTGCTCTATGCAATGCTAACCCAACATCAGAAAATGATTGAGTGCATTGCATCTTGTGTATGTTAATTTGTTATTCTTTTGCTAAATAATAATCTTTGGGCTATGTCTATTCTACATGCGTTTGGGAAATTATTCTTAAAATCAGTTAAATTGGGGTTATGGCTCTTTCTCTGGACTTACAGTGTGAATTATCCTATTAACTTTTATTTTTGCTTTGTTCTAAAATAAAGCAGGGTTCAATTTATGCTCTAGATACCAAGCTTATACTCCCATGTTAAGCTGTGAGTCAGTTTCCCCTTTATAGCTTTACTTGTATTTTTTTCCTGCCTTCACTCCCATCTCTCTTATATTTGTAAGGTCCTATATCAAAGAAATGATCTTCTAAAAGATGGCATTGTTTAGTCTGTAATCAATAACAGTATTAGGGTATTTGACAATTCCCTACTAAACACCACCCCCATGCACAAATGAAAATATTTATATTACTCGATGTTTTGTACATATTTTGTAATGAATGACTCAGTCTAAGATTCTCAAAGTGTAAAACCTAAAAAGAAATATATAATCAGACTTGGAAACATAATCAAATTAGAGCTTTTTGGCCATAAAAAAATTGAGGATGCTCCAACACTTTGAAAGTCTTTACAAAATAATGTAGAAAAAGGCCTAGTTCACCTTTGCCTTAACCACAAAACATTTATTATACAATTAACCTTTTTTTAAAAGTTTTCCTAAATTTTTACCACATATTCTTTGTTTTTCTTTTTTTATTTTAGGGGTGTTGGGTATACGTGTATGTGCATGATCGGATTATGGAAAAAGCACTTGTGTGTACAAGTGCATGTGTGTGCACATACTTGCACACACAGGACAACCTTGTGTCATTCTTCAGGTGCCATCTACCTTTTTTAATTTTTTTTGGTGTTTCTTTTGTTTGACGTTGCTTTGCCTGAGAGTGTCTTTCTCTGGCCTGGAGCTCACCAAGTTCCTGACTAGAATGACTGGCCATAAGCCCTGGGATCTCTTTCTCAGCTCTGGAACTGGAAGTGCGCACCATCATTCCCAGCTTTTCTTATGTGAGTTCTGGGAATCGAACTCAGGTCCTGACATTTGCAAGACAAGCACTTCTACCAACTGAGCATTATCACCTGAGTATTATACATACTCTTGTAATCTAGCTAAAGTAGGTGAGTTTCTCCACAGCTGGAAGAGTTTTACTTCTCCTCACTTCATAACTTTTAATATATGGTTGAATTTTTCAAAAATTCCTACAGGGAAACCCTTGTTTTCTTAGCATTGTAAATTGAACCCTGTTCAGTTATATTAATAGTGGATGACTCTTAGCCCTCTGGTCAATCTTAAATAAGGTGGTTTATACTTGGGCAAAGGGCTTTTCATCAATTATTTACTCTTCATTGTGGTTGCATAGTAAATCTGTTGGTAATAATAATTAAATCACTTTAATTGTGTACTAACTTCGCAACTAATTTCCTTTATAGCATATTGTATACTGTTACTTTCAGGTTCTGTTACCACTGTAGACAGAAGTTTTGTTCTACAGTAATTTTACTAAACAATTTGCTAACTTAAATTCCCTGACCTGAACGAATTTGTAGATAGTTAAATTTGTTAATGTAGCTCCTGTCTGACACCTTGTCCTCTGGCAATATAGTTTTATTTAATGTGTTCCTTCCCCCTTCCTTCTGTTCCAAGTAGATATGTAACTTGAAATATTTGTGTTCAATTATTTGAAAGACTTTATGAACAAATTTGCTAGGCTAGACATGTGTTTGGATATATATGTCTTAGATAGTGTTCATGTCTTCTATACTCTTTTTTCTTTTTGTCATGCCATCTTTTGTAGGACTGCTTCTTAGGAAATATGTTGATTGTACCTATCTTTTCAAAGTATGCTGGTATATGATTTTTTTCTAATTATTTTTAACCAGAAACATTTTCCTCCCCTGCAGCATCTTTATTGTGTATTGGAAGATTTTTGCTGTGTGTCTGTCTTGATACAGCAATTTTTGTATATAGAAATAAAGCTAATATCTCAAGGTTTTCCTTTTTCAAATGGAGTCAGCCCCATATTCCATTGTGAAGGTTTTGTGGTTGAAATGTTCTACATTAGATATATAATCTCTGTGTGTACCTCTCTACATTAGTATCTATTTTATAATAAGAATTAGAACAAAATATGCTGTTGAAAAACATGAAATGTCAGTGAACAGTCCAAGATAAGTGTTTGCTGTGGCACAGTCAATAAAAATACTAGGACTTGGGTCTGGAGAGATGGCTCAGCAGCAGTTAAGAGCACTTATGCTCTTGTAGAGGACACAAGTTCAGTTCCCAGCATCCATATGTGACTCCCCTTTCTCACCTCCAAAGACACTAGGTACATGCAAGCAAAACACTCATACATGTAGGAATTAAAGTGTGTCTTTCATTTTAAAATTAACACCCACTAGAACTCCTTCAGTGTTGCATGCATACTGCCTAATACTCATAGCCATGTCTTTATGTGAACCAAGTATTAGACTCACAGCCTGACACTGATGAGAGAACTGTCTTAGATCACTGACTGAACTGCATTGTTCTTAAGTTTCCTATGTTGGAGAATAATTGTTGCTGGTACCAGAGATCATCTGTGGGTTGCTTAAGGGGGTACAGGGTGCCATTTAGCATTATTTTTTAAATGTATTTCTTTGAAATAATTTTTTTCATGATATATTTGGTCATGTTTTCCTTTCCCCCAAACATGGAAAAGAAATCTTTTTCCTTACCATTGCCTTCACAATACAGAAGTGGTAGACAACACAAGAACAACTTTTTAATATAACTATTTATATGTTATTCCTAGCATTGCACCAGCATTTAGTAATATCAGGAACTGTTATTTCTATGTTTTACGGATGAAGGAACAGAGTGTGAATTATCTGTTAGCTCCACAGCCAAATGATAAAGCAGAACATGTAATCCAGGGGTTCAATTCCACTGTCAGCACTGTACATGTATATATAACATATACTATAAATATTATGCAATTCATAAATGGATAATATGGCTATGGGCCTATTCTGCTACATAGTAATCTGAGGAGAAATGGCTCATAATCAAAGTCTGTGTGTGTGTGTGTGTGTGTGTGTGTGTTTTACACAGTTTTTTTATAATAAATCTTATAAAAATTTAAAATACATTTATTGAAGAAAAAAAGCAAATTCTGTCTGGATACCAAATCTTGTCCACAATTTTAATGCCCATTGCCTAAGCATAATATATCATCCCTAGAAGTCTATCTCAAAGACAAGACTCAAGAAAGTGAACAAGAGCAAACGAATATACTAGCCCCTGAACCTAAAGCCCAGCTTCATCTCTTGACTCCTTACCGGCAGCTACTCCAGCAAGTGACTCTGACAATAACTTCTTTACTCTTGTGTAAGAAGAGCAACCTCTAAAGAAATTAAAACAGAACATAATACAGTAACATCAAAGAAAAGTACACTCAGGTAGTACAGATGTGGTGTGCTTGTGTCTTCATGCTGTAGTATTCATTTTGTTAGTAAAATAGTAAAATCTTAAAGACCAGTATTTTCAAATCAGTAATTGTTCTTTGACTGTTAACAGTTTTCACAAGTCACTTAGAAAGTATGGTCACTATTTTTATTTACTCTTCATTTACAGTTTATAAAGATTTAGAAGTGAGATTCTACAAATAACAAAAAGGAATGACAGTTTGGTTATATACATAACTGTATATAATACTCCCAAGATATCCTTGTATATAAAATACAATCTCCATGCTAGCACTATTTGATAAGAAAATCAAAATTAACTTTCCTGAAGATTGCCTTTTGGTGATTATTCTGTTTCATGACATACTAAAGTAGATTTCTAGTTGGATCCCATGCTCTGGTCTGGTCTTCAGGTGTGTTTTAGTTTCTGTGTGTCAAGAAAGATAACCTAATTGCCTGAATGTGTGAAGATTGGGGGGTGAGGAGATAATGTTAGAGATTAAAGAATAAAGATTCAAAATCAAGGCATCCAGTAAGTACTGTGGTGAAACAAATAGAAATGCAACTCTATTTTTAATGGGCACCTCTCTGTAGATAGTTTTTATTCTACGGCATTTGTTAAAATGGGAAAGACTATACCCGAGGGACCCCTCATCTCTCCAATCCTAAGAACATGGATATTCAGTCGATGACTCATTTCTCAGGAAAACCTGGAGTGCTGTCTGTGCCTTGGTCATGTGCTGTTTTCGTTAGTTCTTCTCACACAATTCCTGATGGTTCTAACACAGCATAAAATGTAATCTTTATGCTTTTGTTCTACAGTATAACTTATTCAGTCATATGGCTTCAATGTTCATTCTCATTCTTGTATTTTTCAAGAAAGAGATACTCAGAGAAGCTAAATTCTGTGTCCACAGTCTTCCTGTGAGCTGCTGTGTCACAGTCTCACTGTGTGGTGCTGTGTCACAGTCTCACTGTGTGGTGCTGTGTCACAGTCTCACTGTGTGGTGCTGTATCCAAAGTCTCACTGGGTCCTTCCCACCTGAGGACCCGCTGAGTTGGAGAACACTGGGTTATAAGGTTCTGCAGTTAAGAGGGGCTTGGGGACAAAACAATTAATAGAAGTACATAATTAAAATGTTTTGAAAATTACAACAAAATAATAGTGAAGTAATCTTCCTAGTCATTGTATGTGTGCTCTTATCTTCTCAGTATTAAGAAACTATTGGAATTGGGTCAGCTAAAGAATTGCTAGAGAAATATTTAATTATACTCAGTATTTTATATAACAAAGAAATCATATTTGCTCGACAGAAATTCTTTATAGGAGGGATTTGTTTAAATTTTCAAAGATAATTGATGTTATATAAATTTGTTTCTAGTGCAAATCCTAAAGAAAAGCAAAAATATTTAAAGAAATAAAAAAGAAGCATTTTAAGAAATAAAAGCATTTAAAGTTTTGTTGTAAACAAAGATTTTAGCAGGATCACATGTCTGATTACTAAAAGTACTAGTAGAATATTTATAATTAATAAAATGTTTGTTTTATATAATTACTTCAAGGGGAATTACCTTGTTACTTACAACAATTATCTGGGATTTGTCACTTCTCTATATTTATTTACATGTTGAATTTTGGATTTGAAATAAACTAAAAGATTGAGCTAAGCATAGTCACGCACACCTTTAATCCCAGCACACAGGAGGAAGAGGCAGGCAGATCTGAGTTCGAGGCTAGTCTGATCTTCAGAGTGAGTTCCAGGACAGTCAGGGCTGTTA